TTGTCGTTAACCCAGCAGGTGAGTTTTTTTTTTGGGGTGTGTTAGTTGGTTGGTTTGGGGAAGGGGTGACTTTGGGTTGAGATAGCCAAAGGGAGGGGTGATTTTAGTTTTAGGATGAGGAGGAAAGCGACCAAAACGGGCAGAGAACAGCCTCACAAAAACTTATACTTAACCCAGGGGGGCCTCCCACATTCCCACAGCGGCCACTTCCTACGCTTACAAGTACCACTGATAAGTTCTAAGCGTCGAGGCTCTCAAACACCCGGGAATAAAGTCATTAATTAAAAAGCTCCATAGTGAGAAGAGGACCCCCTAGGTGCGTTATTAAGCTCAGATGACAAGATATAAAAGCCTATAAGGAGAAATTACAGCCGAGACACAAAGGAGCAGTGACCGTGGAGGCGAGACGGGAGAGACGGTAGTCACCTCACCACAGTCACAGATGACATTATTCAGACGTTTAACTGACCGGGGGGGGGATGGGGATATGTCAACAAACTTCTGTAGACTGTTCGATAACGGATGTTTTGTTTCTGAGGGATCCAGGATGTCGTGTCGGTTCAGGGTTTGTGTTGAGGTGCTTGCAGGGAGTGAAGACGGCCTCGACCACCTAACCCGCCAGCCATCTCTGCCAAAATCATGGAGGTATAATCCCTCCATGGCCAAAATAGTTGCCTCGGGAAGGAACTAATTTTGATAGGTCAATCGAGAGAGGTTGTTGAAAATTATCTTCCTGGGTGTCTTGTTTAACATTACTCCCCTGTCTATACCCACACACAACTCTCGCTTCGATACAGTTATGATGTTGACATTTCACACGGCATTGTATCATCACTAGACAATAAACAAAGCACTATTAATAAACCTCTGTATAAGACTGTTTACGATCAAAACTGGGTGGCGGGTGTATGATGCAGTATAAATTTCTGTTACATGTTAGTCGTGAGAACAGAAACAAATGGTAAGACAGTACGGTGTGTTTACCCTCAATTCCCACGCCACCAGAGCACCTTACATCACCCAAGGACCAACAAACATTTACAGTAATGTTGATGGTAAAAACGATCAATATTCCCAGCGAGAACAAGACGAGCAACACAGCGGCGGCTTCTTGCGATGTGTTAACTATACCATTACACCCGCCCACCCCTCAACTGTCACAATGCTCACGGTGACCAGCAGTGTGCCCACATAGGATTACTGGTCGCGGTACACACAATGCAAAATCAGTTCGATGATGAGTGTCTTGAGTTATGATACACAGTGAGGTCGTGTTCTCCTCAGCATTGTCGCCAGCCTCGCCCATGCATCACTGACCCCATCCCCCCATGTTTTACGTCTTCTTGGTGAAAATTCTCTCCAGGTAGTCTACACATTCACCTACCTGGAGAACCTTATAACTAGTCACAATAACGAAAATGTTAACTTTAGAGATCAAACCCACAACAAACGACGAGACTTCTATCAAAACAATACAGCTTTGGTGCTCACTGACACCTGACGAGTAGCAAAGTGTGGTGCGGTACCTCACTCACTAAACAAGGTCTAGCGATTTGTTATAGAACAAGACACAAACACTACAAGCATCCAACCATCCACCCACCCACACACACAGAAACACACAGACGGACGGACAGACACACACACAATACCGTGCCAACCCGAATGACCCACAACTTAAACAGCACAAAGTATATGAGCAAACTCGGTTATCTTCATAATTCCCCGCCGAGAGCCTGTTTAGGGAGAATAACTAATGTTGTTATACACGCACACGGAGATCCCAGGAGACGGCTTGTGTGGGGAGAAGAGGCAGGGGGCGTTTCACATTTCTCGTAAGATCATGTAAATGTTTTTTTTTCCATTTCATGTCCTGCATGGGATATATTTACCAAATATACTCTAAGGAGTGTTCATTCGGGGTCTTTATATACTGTATATACAATACTACTACAACTACTAAAATAATAATAATAATAATAATAATAATAATAATAATAATAATAATAATAATAATAATAACAATAATAATAATAATAATAATAATAATAATAATAATGGAGGGAGGAAGGAAATACAGTGGGAGGAAGATGGATGAAAGTGTGGTAAGGAAAGAGGAGGTAAGTGGGGTACTATATACAGGCAAATACGCATCTCAGTATCGTCGTTCCATTAACCCTATCTGACCGACCCACTCGTGTCAGCCGTCTTATCGTCGTCACCACCACCATCAATGTATGTCGGCATCTTCTAACACGATAAACAACATCAAATTACCAGGAAACACAGTGATAATTATTCTTGACAAAGGTAGAGTTGGTGTCAGATGCGGCAGGTGTACAACTCGTCAAAATTCCCAGAACATTCGATTTAGTGGGCCACAGATGTCATTTTAATTTGAGTATATCGATTTTAGAATTCTTAAGTCTTCCTTTACGTAAGTGACTCTTCAGTAGATGAGATATTAACTAAAGTGTTCTGAGAATTGTGTATATAACTGTACAATAATAATAATATCACTGAAATAATAATAATTATAATAATAATAATAATAATAATAATAATAATAATAATAATAATAATAATAATAATAATAATAAAGAACTACTGTATAAAGAATTACAAAAATTAAAAAAAATAAATAAATAGTGAGCAACGCTATATGTATGTTGTGTTGTCAAGAAAGAGAAACAATTGAGACCTGCAATTGTGTGTAAATGAGGCAGAAAGTCAGATCAGCAACCTGGGACTTGGTCACAATTTTCGTGATGCCAAATAGCAGCAGGGTCTACCATTAGACAACACAATATGTTTCCAATATCTTCCCAGGCGGTAGTACCTTACCGCTACCTGGAGATGAAATCGACAACAAAAACAAACAAAAAATCAACTTTACGAACCCCAACTTACAACAGTAACTCGAACTAACACAGAACCGGAACAGTGAGATGCTACCCGTCTCGTGCAACACATAACGACCTGGATACAATGGTCTGGCAACACAACACAACAGTCCCTGCTCTGCAACAATAACCAGACCAAGTTGCACAAGGAACCCGTGCACTGTGGTATTTCCCAGTCCTTGCAACATAATATTAACTGGATAATATGATGTACAGTTACACACACAATATTGTCCATTCTGCAATGATAACTTGACCGGTATGTTGAGGTGGTGGTAGAGTGATTCCAGGGGCCAGCAAAGTAGTCACGTCTCTATCTCATATACTGTACTGTACAAAGGTGTGTGTGTGGTAGTATATATATATATATATATATATATATATATATATATATATATATATATATATATATATATATATATATATATATATATATATATATATATATATATATATATATATATATATAGTACAGGAAGAACCACAGAAGTTGCTGCCCTTTGTTATGGACTAAAAAAATTATTGTCGGTAAATGTACAAAAGTATGAGTATCCTTATCAAAACTACAAGAAGGTTGTGATATTTATTTTTTTGCTTAAATCTTTGTTATAATGAAAGTAAAATAAAATATTCCTTGTCAAAATGAAAGTTAAGTGTATTTTTCTGTCAAAAAGAGTAATTTTCCATACTAGAGTACGCAAATGTATAATAAATGACCGAGTGATTGAAAATGGACAATGTTTTGAGTGAATAAAATGAATGAGTGAATAGAAATACCACGCTTAGAGGACAGTAAAAAAAAAAAAAGCTAACTATATACACCGTAAGTTCTCTGTTGACTGAAATATGTGCCACTTGAGATAACTTGAAGCGTTTATCAGTTTGTCCACCCGTCCTCCCTCCCTATCCCTGTCCCCTCTCCTCCCCCACCACCCCCTGCCACTCTTGTCATGCGGCCGGCATGTCCCCTTCTTCAGGAATCAGCGAGTGATATGACTAGTCTAATCACTTATTTCGCTCTTGCCGGTGATTCGGTGGAGAGTCTACACGGTCATGGTGAACTATTATATACTATCAGTTTTTGGAATCATCTTTACTACTCCCTCACCTAAAGATTAACCACCCTAACGCTAACCTAACCTATCCTAACTTAATTTATCCTAACCTATCCTAACTTAAACTAACTTACCTTAACCTATCCTAATCTAATCTATCCAAACTTAATTTACCTTATCCTACCTTGGCCTGCCATGACCTAACCTATCCTAACTTAACCTTTCCTAACCTAGCCTCACCCCCCTCCCCAAATAGTGTTCAGGTGGTTAATCGTTAGGTGAAATAAACTAGGGGGCGAATTTTCTGGTGATCCAATTTATATCTTATTTTCCAAAGTTATTGCTCTTAATGTTTTATTATTTTTACATTATAATCACAGACGTTGGACTAAAAATAACACTGAAGCTGGTCTAAAAATACTAAAATCGGTCTATAAGTCACTGGAGGTGAGATGCAACAGGCTAGTGTGAGGTGCAACAAGCTAGTGTGAGGTGCAACAGGCTAGTGTGAGGTGCAACAGGCTAGTGTGTGGCTATATCGGCCATGGCCTATTACCGCAACAGCCCCCCCTTCCCTGCCAGCCTCGCTTTATCACCATATCACAAAAGAAATTTATATCAACCAGGTTAATGTGTCTCAATAAACAATATTCTCATTTTTCACCAAACCTAAAACTTCAATGAAATACTGTACTGTACTATTACCATTATTATTATTGGCAGTACTGTATTTGTAGTAGTAGTAATGGCAGTGATGGAGTACAGTCTTTGTGTGTCTTTTGACAGCATCACTTTCAACAATCCCAAACAAAAAATTTTTAAATTACACTTAGTCACCAGAAATGAAACTATTCCATTCAGTCTATGAACAGGTGTTAAAAGGACTCCATATCTGACACAGAGAGCCAGGTGAATGAATGCATGAGAAGACAGACAGGAAGACAGACAGCTGAATGAACACCATATATTTAGGTAAATTATAACAAAATTTCAAAATTCTTTATGATGGGCAATAAATAAATCATCAAAGGTGAACACTCACCAGTGAAGGTCAGGTCAGGTCAGATCAGGCCAAAGATGGGGTCACCTCGGTTCACCCGTTGTCACACCTCCACACATCTGAAGAGAAAGTGTACGGTACAGTATAACATTCCATTAGTTACTGGGTGCTCCTCTACTTAAGAACGTTCAACTTACAAACTTTCAGAGATACAAACATTATCACTGAGGGAGGTTACCTGCCAGAACAGGTGTTTAATGTGGATGAGACTGGATTATTTTGAAGAAAATTCCAGATAGAACAAACATTACCTAAGAGGAGAAAAATGAGCCAGGTTTTAAGGCTGTATTAAAGGGTATAGCTGTACTAAATATCAATAATCTTTTCATTTTTTACAATATGTTTATCTACAAAAGTAAAGTTGGACTTACAAACAAGCCTCAGGAACGTAACACGTTCATAAGTAGAGGAGCACCTGTATACTGTTGCCCCCAAGATATTCTTTTGCATTACCACTTATGTGGTAAGAAATGCACCAGGGATCTAGGTGCCTCTTTGGTCCTTTGAGGGCCCAGGGAGGTATAGCCTCCACAGGGGATCCTATATTTTGGGTCTTAGAAAAGTGAAAATCACAATTTCCTCATGGCCAAAACTCCTGCTAAGTTTTTTAAACATCTACTTATCATTGTAAGGATACATGAACTGTTCCTACTATGGCATTTTCGAGTCCCAACGTCAGTACACAGACAAAATTTTCGTTTGTAATTCACTTTAAAATGGCTGGCAAGCTTAAAAGTGAGAGTTTTGTGGTGCTGAGAAGAAAAAGAGACACCCATTTTAGATTTTCTATGTATTATTTAGCATTTTCGACTTCCGACCATTTCGACTTCCGACCATTTCGACTTACGACCTGGATTCGGGTCCCTAACCCCGTCTTAAGTCGGGGAGGAGCTGTACTGTACAGTACAGTATATGAATCTTTAAGGAATGCAATAAAGTTCAATATAAATCTCTATAATACTGTGTACAGTACAGTACAGTATACAGTAATATATATATTTGATGTTGAAATCAGTTCACGCAACCCAAGTACAGCACTGCAGTCTACTGTACAGGTAATCAAATTCTCATTACATTCATTATCTGACTTAAAAGTACCATCACTAGGACCAGCAGCTGATGACTGAAACGAAGCAACTTCAGGAACTTCATGAAGCTTACCAACAACTGCTTTGGCCTGGTCTGTTGGCAACATACTGGGTCCTCTTCTCATGAACATGGATCTCCTTGTTTTTCTACAGCTGGTACAGTATTCTAACAGTTGATAGCTGGCTTGGGTTCATAATCTTTGATGTCTGTTGATTTTAGTTACACAGACAAACAGACATAATCCTAATGATTATACAGAAACCCATTTAAAATGCTTGCATTGAATATACAGAAGAGCAAATTGCAGGTGATACAGTGGTAACATGCTTGCCTCTCACCACTGCATCATAAGTTTAAATTCCCAGGTCAGGTGTGAGAAGGATATTGTCAAGTGTACCACACATTTTCTCTAGATACAGTACTGTACTGCACTGCACTGTATTGGACTGAGTTTCCTCCTGTACTAACACTGGACAACCCAAACACCCCAAATGGTAAGTAAGTTGACAAGTACTGGGACCGTATTGTAAATGATCAATAATAATAATTAAATATATACAGTACTTGTACTGCACTGTATTTATATACAGTACTGTACATATCTTACATTTTTGTGAGGTTTCAAAATTACAAGGAAACTATTATATTTGTTTTTGTTTAGGCAATAAGGCAATTATGCAACCTGCTGATGAAAATTTTCTGAATACAACTTGGTATAGGATATCTCAAAGGAGGCAAAATAACTGGCATCACATTGAATTTTGCAACTTAGCATCCATCTGGTACGATGCCACTGTGAAACTACCTGTACCTAGAAATATTTACAATTCATTCATCATAGCATATAAAACTTTTCTTTTTAAACTAACATACTGTACTGTGTTCCTTACCACAACTGTGCACCTCTTATTCTAACATTCCTATTGAATTATGAAAACAATCTACTGTACAGGGTACTGTACTGTATAGTATGTCCTTGTTAGTAGAAATACTACTTACTTCCCTGAACATAGCTGATATTGTACTGTATTGTAATTAGTAAAGAAATTCACCGATAATTCATTTGTTACAAGGTCTTGGTGATTCTTTGCAATCAAATTACTGTACCATCATTGTTAAAAGATGATACAGATCCTGGGCACTTTCCATGCTAGAGGTCTATCAATATTAAACCCAGCTAATTCTGTACTGTATGTTGCTTCTGCTTATGTTCTCTATTATTGTTTTTTTTTTCAAAAAGTGTATCTAAACTATTATAAATTCACGAGTTAGGTAAAACCATACTTAAGAGAAATGTATTGAAGAAAAATCTAAATAATAATAGTCTTAATATAATTCAACAGGAATAAGTGGACCACAGTGCAGTATAAATGTTTCTCACCAGCAGGCTCTCCACACACCTAAATGTGACGTGTCGATGTGTAAGAAATGACCGAGTGGTTGCAATTTGATTTGGCACATTACGACTGAGCAGACGTCATTTGATCTAACACCTACATGCTTCAAATATGATGGAGAGAGGCACATGTTCTGGTATATTCTAGTGCCCTAGATGCCCTACTTGCCAACAGTGTGTGACAAGAGATATAAATGACCACCTGACTGGCTAGAGAGCTGACCAGTGGCAAAGAGGATAAGGTAAGGTAAATAAGAGTAAACAATGATCAAAGCTCCAAAACCAATAGCCAGGGCTCAATAAGGGCCCTCAAAGTTTCAAGATAAGAATTGTCATAGTGTGAACATTTTTGAACAGTGTTTTCTACTCTTTGCAAAGCTAAGTACAGTACCTGTTCCTGGAGTCTAATTACACTGAGAATGAAATGTGAACAGTGTAGCAATTAAACTTTGCATTCCACTGTACTGTATTACCATATTTTCAAATCCATGTTCAATTACATTTCACATGTCACAGAAACATACATTTTACACAGGAGAAAAAATTTACAATATTGAAATATTCAGCAGTTGTTAAGAGAAGCAGGATACATGCTGCTAGGAATGCAGGAAGTGTCAAGTTGGTACATGATACCTGTACCGTACTGTACTCTTATTCACCTGTTCGGTGTAACCATGTCATGAGAGTAGTGGGGTCAAGCTCCAGAGTCATCTGTAGTACAGTATAGAAAGCATCTTCATATGTAATTGATAACTGGAGGAATAGAGGCAGCTTTACTGTACCCTATCCCTCTAACATATGCAGTGTCACCTGCATAAGCAGTTAGACAAACTTCATATTTACAGTAATATATACTGTATACATATACAGTAAAGTAATGTAAATTGTATAAAAATTCCCGAAAATGTTCTCAGACACATGCACATATGCACATAATTCACTGGTTCTACATGTTCATTAATTTCGGAGAAAGCCAATACATACCTTGATGAGATAATGTTAAATACTGTAATGTATAGCTATAAGCCGGTCCTCTTCAGCAAAAGTCAACTAAATCAACAACATACCCAGAAGACACACCACTAACACATGAACAGTATATTAAATCACTGGATCACAACACATGATAATGAAATTCAGATTCAGAAGGAGAATGTTGATGTAGAGCTGAGACCAAGAAGGTGGCCGGGTGGTATTGTAGTACTGTAGTGAGAAACAGTTGTACTGTACCGAGGTGAAGTTCAATGCCACCACAGCACACACAGCTACTTATATGGCTTCAGCATACCTGATACACTTTCCCAAGACCCATCTCTATCCTCTCTATATGATATTAGGTCTTATAAGCAAGTAAATGTTGTGCGCTGTCCATCAAAAATTTCTTCATCAAGCTGTACCTGATGAGACAACCATACAGTAATATTTGTTACATCCAGTACGAATAACAACATACACAGGGACCAATCTAAATGAATAAACTTCCAAGAGAATACTGTAACATGAAAATAACCTTAACTCTATGAAAAATGCAACGAAAAATAATGGGAGACAGTTTCTATTGTTAGTAGTATCAATTGTACAATTACAAAGAAAAAAGTACTACAATGTATAGTAATTGTACAGTGCAAATCACTTGTATTTTGCACCAGCATACTAAAGACATTAACTATTCTCAGTGAGTGAGTGAGTGACATTTGCAGTAAGGTGGTGTCAAGGACTGTGTAAAATACAAAGCTATTAGCTCAAAATATACTTTGTGTAAAAAGAGGCGAGTGACACAGTGCCTCACAAACCAGGCATCAGACAGTGGATTATTGTCACTGGGCTCAGGTTTTAATTTTGTTTATCCATCTGTCTCTGCCTTCCCCTGGCACTCCTACCCTCAACTTTGCCCATTAATATTTCTGTTATCCCATCATCCCTAACTAGATGACCAAAATATCCATTATTTTTTCTTTTTCTGTACATTTCAATTATTTCTCTTGAAGATTTTGCTACCGGTAACCTTAGTCCTATTCTGTAATGTACTTCATTTGTTTTCCTGTTAATATAACTAATTCTTAACATTTGCATATAACACCACATTTCAAAGGCCTCTTAAGATCTTTCTGGCGTCTGCTTTAAGTGACCACGTTTCTGACCCATACAACAGTTCTAGCCATATAACGCCATTCAGCAGTTTTTTCTCAAATTGAAGTTAATGTCCCTTTATTATTAAGTCTTTTAGATTATTAAATGCTATTTTACTTGACCTATTCCCGTTATGAATGCTTTTGCATATCTACCATCACTAGTAATGTTACTTCCTATATACACAAAATTTCCACTTATTTCAGTTCCCTTTTGCCTACCATAATTTTCATTTTAGAACTTATTTCCAATTTGGAAACAACAATTAGTTTCGTCATTACAACATTAACCCTTAGTCCATGTTCTTTATCCTTTTCTTCTAATCTATTAACAACTTTCTGGCAAGATTAGCTATCCTAATGCTAACTTAAACTAATTTAACCTAGCCCACACCAAGTTGCAGTGGGATGTTTATCATCAGGTGAAATAAGCCGAATCCCTACATAAACTGAACTACTTTTTACAATAGACAAAATGAGCCACTCTTAACAATTTTAACTACATATTCACAGTATTTTTGTTCAGTTAGGATGATTTGATTAGTTCAATTTACCTATTTAAAGATAAGTGCAAGTTACCACAGCCGTCACAAAAAGCACATGCCACAATACTGCCCATGAAAATAATAATACTGTACTGTATGTTTCCCTTTTTCTTCAGTCCTGCCCACTTTAACTATGAGACAATATGGATACTTGGTCTCTCCCAGTACTATAAGGTTAAACAATAACAAGATACTGTAACATTTTTAGTAACCATACAGAAAGTAACCGAGAGAAAGAAGAAATGGCTGTGGTCTGAAACGTTATGCTGCAGGTTAAAAATAGGTGTCAACAGAACGAGACATGTGATGTAACTTACCAGATCGAGTCTGAACACACCAAACCAATGTTATAGATATTACTAAGTACACCGCCGGGATATCCTACAGTTACAGTATTCCCAAATTTCCAATGGATACTAATTTTGAAAATTTATTTTTCATTGTACGAGTATACGAGTAGTAACATATGTCTTCAGACTATTATAAAACACGTCACTTGTTTGCAGTTGCTGATGTCAACAGCAACAGTGGCACCGGTGCCACACTGCCTGACACTGTCATCACTATTCTTCACTAAGGTTGTAACCAGTGAACACATTTCTACGTATCTAATAATATATAATCAAGCAAACAAAGCATAAGAGAACTCACAGAAATCATAATGCCATTGTTGAAAAGCTACGATGGGAGAGCAACAAAAATTCGGCTGCTGCCGTGTTATCAATAAGTCGCCACCGCCATCTGTTGCCACACTGTGTCATTAGACTCACTACTGAGGCTCGCCTCGCCTCACAATACCCTAACCCAACCTACATAACATGGGAGTTATGTTTCACTGTTTCTTTTGTCGCTATAATTAATTCAGCTGGGGCTAATTTTATCCACACATAAACGTATTTACAAAAAAAGTACTTCACTGAGTTGGAGAGTAATTTCTTCGTAAAAATAATCGTATGTGGATAACAATAATTGTCCTAAGGTAACTGCCATGACATTACATCAGAAAATCCAATTTTAATTATTCTGAAATATGATTATTGTTTCCTACATATGGGGTTCGGGATTTAGTGTGTGGAATGGAAGCCCAGCAAACAATTCATCGTTATTTATCAGGGGCGGATCCAGGAATATCATAAGAGGGGGTCCAAGAAGTTTTGGGTGGGGGAATATGGCGAGTGCAGGGAGCCTTCACAGCTGGGAGTTGTTTTTTATAGGAGAGGGGCCGCTGTAAGTCCCCCGATTTTTTTAATCTGATCAATATCCTGGGCATTTTGAGGCCATTTTGAAACCAAGCGCACTTGATATGAGGAGATATTCTGAAGTCAGTAGTAAATATTTTTTTACAATACAAAAATGCCCGAGTACAATACTGCATTAAGGAAAAAGTATTGTAATTTTCTGGTGAAACGGGGGGGGGGGGCGGACACCCCAGGATCCGCTCTTGATTAATACCTTTTCTTAGTCCCATTGGGACATGATAAGCCTCCTTACTGGTACGACCCTTACACTTCGTGACATAATGATATATTGTATGCGTTTGAAGCTGACAGAGATCTTTGTGTACCTTTTCACAGCCCATTTTGTTCTTAATTTTCCTGAATAGCTTGACATCGTCCGCAACATTGTATGTTAACGTTATATAACGTAAAATGTTAAATTAAGGTTAGGTTAAGGTTATGTTAGGTTAACTTCAAGTTCTGTTAACGTTACAATTGGTTAAATGTCAACTTAAGGGGATTTTAAGGCAATGTCAGCAGGTAAAGTTAAGTTAAGTTCAGATACATTCAGGAGCCAGTTCATGTCCAGTACTTGCCAACAGTGCGTAATAGAGACGTGACCGATCGCCCAAGCGGCTAACGAGCTCTCCTGACCATCGAAATTTCTGCCCGACGGAAAACAAAAGTTGCAGTAATATTCTAATTATAATGTTTTAGCTATGAAGAAGGTTCGATTTCAAATGGAACACAATAAGCACTATATCAGTGTTTGATTACCTTGGTGAGATGATTGAGATTTAGTATTAATTACTGACTCTCATTATAAACTATTTAAATGTAATATATACACTACAAGTATTTTTTATGGATAAATAACTGAAATATTAAACAAAAAATGAAGAAAGAATACATATTTGATTTTATTTTTTCCCTAAAATCGAACACTGTCTGTCAGCTGACCTGTAACAGAAACTCGACTTCACAAAATGTGTATGATAACTACCAATAATTTACTACGCTATTGCATGATATAGAGAATGAACTAATAAAAAACACTAGTTCTTTTGGTTTCTTTATATTCTTAAAATATCTTGATTTAATCAAAATTTGGCAAATATTTGTTCAGTAAATACGAAAATAAGTAACTATTGATCTTGACGGGGTATAGTCAACGGTCCAGGTCACTTGTAAACAAGTCCCGGAGAAGAAGTCAAGATGTCAGGGAAAGACAAAATTAACATTTTCCCCTCTAGAGGGTAAGTTATGGTATATAATACTCAGGGAACAAGTGCTTACTTTTCAGATTTAACCTCCGGAAGCAGTTAGAAATTAGATGTTGAAAAATTAAGTCTGATGCATCCAATGGACGTATTGTAGTGTAGAGCTCCCACAACTATATAGTGTTTCGCTATAGAACTTCCTCCATTATGCTGCAATGTAAAGAAAGTAATGGTGAAAACCACACTAAGGTTAAGGAAGAGTTAATCTTAGTTTATTTTGTAAAACATAATTTCAAGTAGGTAATGCCTTGTTATAAGTTGGCAGGAGAGAAAGGTTAAGTGATAAACACGAAGTAATAGTTAAGGCAGTGGATATTTTGCCGTGAGTGTGCTCTAATTGGCTAATCGTACATTGCTGGCAAACAATGAGAGAACGGTGCCACTATAGCGTGCGGTCTACCGGGACATTTACACTATAGTGTGCGGTCTACCTGGGATATCTACACTGCAGGCTGCAATTTAGTATTGATATATAGTACATTTTATGATAAAAAAAACAAAATAGTAATACATATTTTTTTAATGATAATCATATAAACAAAACATATAAAGATGTTGAATAATAGCATAATATTAATGACATAAACTTCGTATCATATTCTTTGTAAATGATACACCTAACCTAAACTAACCTCCTTTTATAAGGTTGGTTAGGGTCCTGGTGTTCAGGTAGTCAGGTCAGGTCAGGTCCGTAGACTACGGATATTGTGGTAGACCGCACGCTATAGCAGCACCGAGAGAACTATATTTGTCTGTGACTGGCGGCATTTGGCATTTATTTTTCCGTGAGTCGATCGTTGTGTAGCTGTAAACATAACTAACCATATTTCTGTTGTGCATAGAAACTTGTACAGTAATTATAAAAGAGGCAACATTTACTAGAACCTGACCCAACCAACCAAAGATACCAAGCTAACCTGACCTAACTTTCTAGCCAGGGTGCAGATACCCCCCGTCATATTAAACAGAAAGTATTTGGCTAATCAGAACGTACTCACGGTAAAATAGTGTTAGTAGGAACTTGGCCAGTCACGGCAAAACATCCACTTCGAATAGTTAAACTATCCGTGTTACTAACCTTCTTACTGTATGTCTAAAGATGTTGATTTGTAGCCCTAAATCTCCATGTTATACCGCAAGGATGTTTTATACTACCTGAAATGTTGTGGCCAAAACAAATAACCCAACTACAGTACAGCAAATTGTTCCTGCAGATTAGCATCAGAATTAGATAGTGTAAAAGTCTACCCATACCATACAACAAAGGATACTGTATCTTATTTATGACGGGTGTGTATCCCTGGGCTGGTGATGTTTTACTCTGTCACAGCTTCGGATGACAGGTTTGCTGATATTCTTCTACTATGGTTCATGCACAGAATAAATAAATTACTGTAGATACAGATCTTGTTGTTTGAAGACCATGGACCATCTAATACTCATAAGTTGTAGAAGGCACGTCTGTTAACTTTGGTGTCGTGTGTAGCTCTTCTGAGCGTGGCAACAGTGTCTCCGCATGACGTCCTTAATCAGTTGCGTGACTGTTTGCCTGAAAAAAAAACTGAGGCATTATATGTTTTTCTCCTAAACAACAAAACTCAAATTGTTTATATTTGGTAGTTTCTATTAACGTCTGGTAAATACTGTAACATATTTCCAGGGCCCAGACGACCATGAAGGCACGTCTGGCGGGAGCTGTGAAGGGCCACTCACTCCTGAAAAAGAAGGCTGAAGCTCTTCAGATGCGCTTCAGACAGATTCTAGCCAAAATTGTTGAGGTAGGCTATACTGTACTGTTTATATATCAGTTATTTGCTTATAAAGTCTTAATTTTGAGGTGATTTTTTAATACATCAGGTTTGTTCCCTGATACTGTGGACTGTAGTGTGGTTGTGGCTACTGACTTGAGTCTACTGTAGTTGTCACTTTAATTTGGCTTGGTTGATTCTCTCATATTTTAAATCTCATACACAAGCCCTCACACACTCCCTGGCTGTGGTACATTCATGTGGAGGCATCTGTACATTAGGCAGTGTTGACTAGTGGCTGCTCTGGGAACTGATTGCTTTAACAGTGTAACACCTAATGAAAGTACCTTCTGATTTTATTATTTTAATGTTTTATCATTATGCTGTTTATTATAATATTATGTCTTTGGATGATGAGGCTTTAATGAGAGCTGGTTTATTATGTTTTTATTTTAGACTTACCAGTATATGGTTCAGACTTGAAAAAAAAAACATATAATATACTGTATATGCATGTATGGCTTTTATCAATCTGTGCGTTGCTTGTTTTGCAGATGATGTGACCCTCTTATGACTGATTTGGGAATTACTCTTTGGAATTTATAAGGGATCTTTGTGCCCAAATAGTATCTTAAAAGTACTTTAACCTATTTCCTTCATATTTGTAATGCCAAAAAAGTATCTTCTTCATTTGTAGACCCTGCAGGTAAAACCTGCAGTACAGTACAGTATTCCTACTCATAATTAACCTGCTGATTTGTAATCCAGTAACTGTGTACCACTTCAAAAATTTAGTTAGAGTTATCTTGATTCCAAATTCTAGTTATCAATATTGTAGCTGCTGTATAATTGCATAACTTCATTACATAATAGTTTTGCTTTTCATTTGATAACTTACATCTCTGACATTATGTACAGTGCCCAAGGAAAATATTTAAATGTGATGTAATGTTTTAACCTCACCAGACTAAAGTCCTCATGGGTGATGTCATGAAGGATGCTGCATTTTCACTGGCAGAGGCCAAGTTTGCATCTGGTGACTTCAACCAAAGTGTGCTACAGAATGTGACAAAAGCCCGCATCAAGATCAGAAGCAGGATGGACAATGTTGCAGGTGAGTGTTTGACTCCTGTAGATCCAAAAATTAATCTAGCATTTTTTTTTTTAATTCATATTACTGTATAAGTTTTATTTAATCACTTGCTGTATTGTACTCTTGTATGAAATTGGGTAGGATGACAGAGACCTCAAAATGTCATGTCTTATTAAACTGTGTACTTTAACAATCCAGAAATGTAATAGCCTTAAATTAGTTTATTGAGTAATTTTACCAATGTAACTTTACCAATTTCCCCAATACAGGAATCCCTCTCTATACAAATGGGTTAGATTTCTGTGAAAAATAGGGTTTGGTTCCTATTGACAAGAAAACTCCATTGTTATACCCAAAAAACATGAAATCAGTTCATGAGCAAAATACCTACCTACCTAACTAATGATAGATAGTACATAAGTACTGTACTGTAATTTACTACTTAACACATTAAAAACATGAATGAAATACTATAGATGAAAATATGCAGCTAAAACCATTAAGGAAAAGTTAAGTGAAAGTTTAACATGCTGGCTCTATGGTGGTCAAGTAACCATAGCAATGTAGCCCAACTGGGACGCTGCTTGTGCTGACCCTTAGGAATGGGGCTTCCACACTATTCCCCCCCTCCCACACAGAGAAATGTTTACAGTATTCCCTCTATATTTTTTACCGTATAATATTTGTTTCTTTTATTTTTTATAATTTTTTTGCACATTCTGTATATACAGTATGCAGGATTGTGTGTACATGTAACCAAGTAAAAAAAAATATATATATACATATATATATATAAATATATATAAACATACTGTATAAGAAAGTTATGCACATCTACCCTAAATTGCAAGATGAGTAATATCCATAGCATAGCTCATGCCTCAGCCTTATAGGTAAGAGGGCTAGCAGGATGTGGTCGCCCCTGCTGACTTCCGGGGTGCATGATTTTAATTTTTGCCGGGACCCAAATTTGTATAAGCAAAGGAAGCTTTTGTAACATGAAAAAAAGGTGGTAATTTAGGCAATTCGGATTAGCGAATTTATATCTCGAGCATTCGTATAGCGAGGGATACCTGTGCTGTACTGCATTTTTTCAACTATTGACTACAGGTAATGCTATACTGTACTCAAAACAATATTTTTTTAAGTTCTCAGCTTGGCAATAATGAACTAATTCCTCTAGGTACCAACCTACCGGTTTTTGAAAGCTTTGAGGATGGAGCAGACACCTATGAGTTGACTGGACTTTCCCGTGGTGGTCAACAGATGGCAAAGCTTAAAATCAATTACAAACGTGCCATTGAGCTGTTGGTAGAGTTGGCATCACTTCAGGCTTCATTTGTAACTCTTGACATTGTAGTCAAGATTACTAACCGCCGAGTAAATGCCATAGAACATGGTAAGTGCACAAGAACTTTAAAATATAGAGTTGAGGATGCTGGTGAATTCATAGTAGCACTGTACTGTATAGTGGTTCTGCCAACAAATTTTAAAGTTTTTGTTTGTATCTGCAGTTATCTTCTGAGGGATATACCAGTCTCCCACCTTTAGGCAAGAATTGACAAACATGTTTTTCAGTTTTAAATGTTTTTTCATCAAGCAGCTTAAGACAGTAGTAATAAGTCATGAGATACTGCCTTGATTGGCTTTCAGTGATCTGCATACAGTATTCATATTTCTCTCTCTACAAAATAAATGCATTTCTGAAGAGAAAAATATATACCTCTAAATTATGTAGTTATTTAATTATAGACAACTGTTGTATGGAGATACAGGAATATTCTTGTAGGGAAAAATCTGTCCCTATGACAAAATAAAGCTACTGTTCACTAAAAAATGCACCAGATATAGCTATCAAATATTGTTATTTTATATTAAAAAAAATGTGTGTATAGGAGTAAAATGTAGGGAAATACTATTGAGTGATCACAAGCTGTCTGTCTCATGTACAGTACAAGTTTTTATTTCATATAGTACTTTAAATCTAATTTCATCACACTTAACTTTTTCTAGACATGTTACCTTGTAGTGAAAAGGTGAAATAATGGACTTTAATCAGCTTTTTTGCACTTAATTTAAGCATTGCATTACAGTATAGCCTTTTTTTTTTTAACAAAAAAGAACTTTCATAAAAAGAGGGATTACTTTAAAGTAATGTACTACTTGGTAAATTTTGTGATCACATATAAGAACATCTATAGTATGATGTTATAAATCACCCATTTGTCATATAGTAGATGTGGTTGTTATCAACACTGTACTATTTTATTATTTATTTTGTAATTAACTTTGCTGTTGCTCCACAGTTATTATTCCACGTTATGAACGCACACTGGCATACATCATTACTGAACTTGACGAGTTGGAACGTGAAGAGTTTTATCGCCTGAAAAAGATCCAAGAAAAGAAGAAGAAAATCAGAGACAAGGCAGAGGAGGAGAGGTTAGCTTTGAAGAGAGCTGGTAAGATAAGAGAAGCACGGGAGAGAGGAGATATTTTTAAAGGCACGGATGAAGATGATCTTCTTTTCTAAGGAGAGAATTTATCAAGCATGTACAGAGAAAACACTTGTTGTTTTGTATGGGTAGTAGAAACTTAAGAATGAAAAAATCAGGTACCCTGTAACTGGTTTTATCTTCTTTTCATTAAAGGGAAACTTAGAAGTATGAGATGGCAAATATTGTCTCCATGTGTACAGTATAATGTATCTAAACTCTTATTGTGGTAAGAAATGTGTGGTTTGTATTTAATGTAAATCTATTTCAAATGCATTTATTTGTAGTAGTTCAAAGAGGTTTTCCATAATAATTGGTTGAATGGTTGTAAATGGCCCTTTAGTGCTAAATTTTATGAATATTTTGTGTATTCAATATTATTCCTGTAATGAGATAAAAGATTACATTCCATCACTTGAGTAGTTTTATTGTAATATACTAATTGCTGAGGTAACTGCTTGCATTGTATCAATACAAACTTGTATAGTAATGTGAACCCAGTCTGTAGAAAAACAAATTAATACTGTGTGACAAGCATTGTAACAAAGCCCATCTCTGGCTTTGATTATTGTAGCACACATGGTACATCTTGATTGCCATGGACTAGCCATTACTAATGGGTGAGGAGCTTACACTGCTTTGTGGCAATTGTCAGAAACCTCCACAAAAATTCAAGGCAAATACAAAACATGGAAGATTTAAATTGGACCCACAAAAAAAATATCAACAGTTGCAGGACATGCACACCAGGGGTTAAAGGACTGTACAGTATTGAAACTTGAATATTTTAACACAGTAATTCATGATATTTCCATTAGCTAGGATTCTCATCCTTGTACTGCATAAAAGATTTTATACAAATTAAAATGGATTTGGGAATTAGCCATGACTCTTGGACCAAACCTATTATAAACCTGGAAAAATCACTGACCCAAATGTTTTGTGTAATGAACATCATGTATGTATCACTGAAGATAAAGAAAGGAAAATTATCGATGATTATGAACAGAACACAGTCTTTGAAACACCAGTGGCTTTACTTTTGACTCTGCATGAATACTCAAATACTAGAAAATTATTTTTAAGTTCTATGGAATTAAATGATTATAACTTCTCTAATACTCTTGGATTATCATTTTAAATGTTTACCTTAATTTTTTGTTTCCAATCAAAGACTGGTAATGTAAATGCTGTTGACAACACAACTGTATATATTACTTTAATAAATGTACAAAATATATGTCGAGTACTCCATGGATCCTATACAATTTAATTTTTATTTTGACACTGCAAGTTGAATGTACAGGTATTCACAGATTAGAGGCAGGGTAGACATACCCTACGTAATTTACTTGATCTCTTTAACTTTGTTACATGCACACGCGTGTTATGATCTTCCAAGATTGCATCATCATATCTCAGAATATTGTGAGTTATTGCACATCACTTTTTTATAGTAGTGACAATGCAGGAAAAGCATTTGGGTAACGACCACCACAAAACTGATTTAAGCACATTGCATAGCAGTAAATGATGTTAATGTTTTAACTTCGTAAAACTAATCGTGCTCTGGCATTATTTTTCATCGAAAGTATTTATTTATTTTTTTAATGTGTATTTCTCCCAAATGATTGCTCTACAATACTATTATACAAACGAAGTTGAATCTAACACCAACATATGAAAATACAAGTGGTTATCATAAAGGAGCAGGTAGCGTCTGTAACATTGTAGATCCTTGTGGCACTGATACTTGCAGGCCCACAGGGGGTTTATCCCTACACCTCACATCCACCACAATTGTGCAGCAGGGAAAACAATGGCACACATTTTGAAACGAACTATAAAAGACAAGTGATAAATAGAATTTTGGAGAGTTTCTGAAGTCGACGATATTTTTGTCATCAGAACAGTAACAGGTTCATTGCAACATTGGCTTGCCAAAGTGTTAATATAATAAAGTAGTACAGGTATCCCTCAATATACGAATAGGTTAAGTTCCTGAAAACTATTCATTAAGTGAATTTTCGTGTAGTGAATAGTAGAACATATGGGAAATCGGTTCACAAACAACAAACCTACCAAATGATAAATAGTACATAATTACTGTAATTTACTACCCAGCACATTAAAAACATTAATAAAATACAGGTTAGGTTTCTGAAAAATCCATTACAGGTTGAAATATCGTAGATCAGGAGCATTATACCATAGGGTTCGATGGGATACATTCCTGGCCAGTCAGACACCCACATGCATCACTGAAAAAAAAATCCTAGAATACTACTAGCAGTACAACACAATAAAACAACACTCACCATATCAATATGAACAAGTTTGTTCATCATCATGTGTTCCCGTCAAGACTTTCGGGACTCTTAAGGTGGATTGGAGACATCAATCTGAGTCCCACACAGCCTCTGGGGAGTCTGAAGAGGCTAGAGACAGAGTGGGGACTGGAGGTGTAGCCTTTGTCCTGACCTTAAAGATGGTGAAGCCCTTGGATGAGACTGGAGTGTCAGATGAGGAGGGTCTTTTGTTGCTGGAGACCCGAGAAGTTGAGGGTTGTGGCTGTGACTGTGACATGGGCTTGAAAAAGGTGAATGTTGTCTGGCTTTCCTCCTCCTGTAAGTACAGCTCCCTGAAGCACAGCATATCCTTCTCCACAAGTGCCCTCACAGACAAACTCCTGTTAAAGTTTTTGTTATTCTCAGCAAGGGGATCCATGGCCAAAGCTCAACACATTCACAGTCAGCATCCTGGGTGCAGGGTTTTCTTCCTCACCCACTGCCTGCTGCTGTTCCTGGGGCAGCAGATCCTCAATGCTGAGCTCTTCAGAGTGGCTCTCCATGACCTCTACCACATTCTCCTCATTGACCTCCTGAAAGCAGGCCTCCTTGGAGATGCTGGCAATCTCATGGTGTACAGTTACAACATTTGTGAAGCCACCAAAGTAATTTATGCACTCAGAACTCACTTTCCTCCACACGGTGTAGTGCTTCACTTCTTGTCCAGTGCAAAAAAAAGTCATCAAAACAACCAACAGTAGCACTGCATATTCACAGGGATATCTCACCACTGCTACCATTTTCCCTATTCAGTAGATATTTCCAGTCAAGTGTTCTCATGAGCTACATCCAAGTTTCATCACCATGCACCCTCCATTGACCTAAAAAGACATGACATTTCTGATCAAAATCATTTTGTATGAACTCACCTACCAAAACTAATCTATACAGTAGACAAACATTCTGTTGAACTCCCTGCTACTGAGGTGCCTTTCAAATGTCAATCTTCATCAGTCGAAAACATTCTACTTCAACTATCTCAGACAAACAAGGGAATCCCTCAATGAACAGATCTGGTAACTACACTATCTGATCTCTCCCTCTTGAGTTTTTAAACATACAATGGTTCTGTATCACACAGCTGGTTGCTTCCTCCCATAAACACCTCAGAAATCCAGCTATTTATGGATCATCCATCATGATGCAGTACAGTATCTGGAAACTCGACCAACTTCTGTCTCCTCTCATTTGCCTATACCACATTGATCTTAATAAATTTTTTATGGCCACAACTGATTAAAGAGATATGGAAATACTAAAAGGGAGGAGCACAGGCATCCATGAAGTGTCAGCTGAGAGACAGATAAGAGTGTATGTGTGTGTGTGTGTGTGTGTGTATGTGATGGGAAAGGATTGATGGTACAACATATGAATGTCATGGGACCTATGGATGGGGAACACCAAAGTGGAATATTATTATTCTTACAGTGCAACCACAAAGAAAGTATCCGCAAATGAGAATGTGTTTTTGTTCCTGCTTCAAGCCAAAGTGTGGAGCCGGAAAACACTGAAGAATTAACAAATAAAGATATATAAATACTGTATATATTTTTTTTTACTTTATTAAAATACAGGGATTGGGATCTTTTTACAACAAGCTACTAGACTGGTGGTGATCTAAAAAAACAGCTGTGCAATATATTGCAACAAAAAAATCCTGTAAAGGGGTATTACCTTATATTTGCATTACATTCAGTACTGTATTACAGTTTTCTTCTCAGCTTTGGCCACTTAAGATTTCATTTTAAGAAATGATTTGATAAAAGAACTTTACAATAAAAAATTTAATAATGGTCTTATTGTTAAACAAAAAATTTTGAAAATCTGAAATTACAGTACAGGAACTATACAGTAAATGAGAACTAACCAAAAAACCACTGAAACAAACACAATCCTGTAAAAAGAATCCACATTTTGAGTAAGCATAGACAGATACTGTACAGTATATGGCAATGAATCAACACAAGGAATGTTTCGACTCATATTGTAACAAGTCGTGTTTCAAAATACATCACCCCCCCCAAGATATTGTAAGGTACTACATAAACAAATTATCCTGTTGTATTCATTCATTACTATCATATTTGATTCTTGTATTAATTTGAAAATTTACCCTGAAGAGGCAAAATTCCACACATTACCCCTTTAGAAAACCTTTAATAACACCCAATCCTCCCGAGTTAAAAAAAAAAAAGACAACTTCTCCTCTTTCTTAATGGGTGATACTTATCCTCTATAAGTCATAAAGCTTTATAAACTTTTCTCTATTTATTTACAGGGTGTCCTCAAATAAAATTGCTTCATTTCATTATACCCTGTACTGTAGTCTTTTTAATGAATTAGATTCAGTGTCCAAATAAAGTCGTGTGATTCTGTTATAATCTATTGTATTTGTTTGCAGCAATGTTAAAGACCAACAGAAAACACAATGTATTCTAATGGGATCTCTATTGGTGGATTTTCTTTAAAAGTACATTAAAATGGGGTTCAACACTTTTAATAGTAACTAACCTTACACATGCCTAAACATATCTTGGTGTTAGTTTTGAGCTCTTTTTATTCTAATAAAAATTTTGAAGCCATATTTAAACCTTTCTTGATAAAAGTAATAAACTATTTTCTCCCCAAATTCTTTACAAACTAATTACGGAAGGCAGACAAATATATATTATAAATGAGGATCATTACCTACATAATTACACCTCGTCTCGTACTTGATCCTACCAGTGGAAACGAACAAGCTGTGTGTGAACAGGTTCTGGTCATTTCTGTTTACTGTACTGTACACACAAACCCCTCTGTTGTTGCATGAACTGTCTAATGTAATGTGTTTTAGAAAGAATAAAGGAATTGCATTTCTGTAGTATGGTGCAAAAAGAATGAGAGAGAGAATGACTGTGTGTGTGTTTGGGGGAAGGTAACTACTGTAGCTGATAAGCTCATGATACCATGTTTGGTATCAGTAGAGCTTACTACTAGATTTAATTCCTTGTCTTTTTTATACCATCTTTAGACGACCAAGTTTGTTATCAGTGGCAGATTTATCTAATAATTTATAAGTACAGGTGCAATTTATTTTTTTTAACTTATTTCCAACTACAAAATATAGAATTTCTTTTGTTAAAGCTTTGTCACAACTTTACAATGTGTAGAATGCCTTTTGTTAAAACTCTGGCATGTACAAAAATTACTTAAACTTTGTCTGGTGAAAATTTTTCCCTGGAATGCAACTCTCCTATTGCCATTAATTCTTATGGGAATAATTGGTCTGCATTTTCAATGTATGGAGCCCTAAAGCTAAATGAGGACACCCTGTATTTTCTTGGAGTGAAATCGAGATGGTAAAAATAAACATCAAAACGACAAATAAATTAAAAAACAATTAAAATCTGTTCCTGCGGCGTTTTGAGGGCTTGATCTGTCGATTCACTTTGAGTCGTGCAGCTCCTTTCCGATTTCCGAACTGTAAGTATGGTCCTTCTCCTGTTGAGAGAATAAAGGAATAATACTTTATGGATTCTCACAAAAGATGTAGAATTTTTTTTACATTTTTTATGAAAGTATTAATTTTACAGGCCATAAGAAGAATATGTTTAGTACCTAAATAATGAGAAGTAAACTGGAAAAGTGAAAAACAGTACAGTACTGTATTGTAATTATATTTTACTGGACCTAGGCTAACATGCAGACAAGTATTGAACCCCGACCTAGGCTAACATGCTACAAGTATTGAAATATTTAATTAATTTCAGACACACTATCTGATTAATATAACACCAGTAAAAATATTGACAACTAAAAAGAAATCTTCCTGAAGTGTGTCAAACAACCTATACTGTGATGTTAGTTATGGGCAATAAAAATAAAAGATATAGTAAATCAATAGAATTATCAAATGTATCTTCCATATTAGTGGCAAGTGAGTTCACACATGTGAGTGTTAGATTAGAGTAGGCCTAAAGACATCAACAAAAGTGAAGTGATATTTCTACAGTAAGTCCTTCCTCTATATTTACTCTAGATTCATGAATGGGTTTCAGATTTGGCAGTTTGATTTTTGGTAAACAAACGAAATTCATGATATATGCATGATGATTATTTCTTTCGACTATACTAGAAGCACTGCAACATATTTGTAATTGCTATTATGTTAATAGCCAATATTGATTTATCCTTAGGGCTTGCTTAGGGCACCCACTCCCTTCTCACAAAAATTCCAGTAATATCCATGAGCATTACTCATGCCGTGAAGGTTCCCCACTCTTCTTGAATGCAAAACGTGGGCATTCCCCCTAAGGAGATCTCAAGCTAAACTATCTTGAATAGGGCCCATGGTGTAAAATCTGTCAACATATACCGGTGGTTACCGTTTTCAGTTAGTTGTTATCGCTCATTTTATCTTCCACTGACCTTGGGGTGATCAATACTTATTTTACTGACTGCATAACAGTAGGACAATCAAACTGTTAAATGCAGCTGCTAATATGGATTTTTTGAAAAGGAAAAGTAGGAGTTGTAAATAATGAAGTACTGTACAACTGGAAAGGACACATAACCTTGAAAAGGGAATCTTTACAACAAGAAAGAATAAGTAAAGGGTATGTTCCTACAGACTACCGGTACATAAGAATAGCTAGAATATCAGAGGAGCAGGTGGCAGAAGGATCAAAAGCTGGAGAGGAAGGAGTGAACATGGGAATCATTCATGCACTACATATAGTGGTTTACTTCAATGGAGATAGCTTTTAACATTTTGAGGGGCAGCAGCCAATAGCCAGAATAAAATAGTTAATTGCGACAGTGCCCTTTAAAGGGTTAACAATAATAGTTGGAAAAATATACATGAGCCATCCTTTTTCAAAATATGTGACTCTTTAAACATAATTATATATCTATAAATACAAATATTTGGAGAAAAAAATTTAATCTCTTTTATCGAATAGATTTCTCTCCCACTGTATGTCTGGCAGATCAAGGGGGTACTAGAAACTCTGAAATATGAAGGTAAATAACAGGGGAAAAAAGACAAGACAAGTATGGAATATAACAGGTATGAGTTCAGACAAGTAAAAATTAAAAACATATATACTTTCACAAATAACTTACCTGATGAGAATAGCTTATAGATACAGTCTGGGAGATGTAACTCTGGCATAATTATTGCATTTACTTGAGTGGTAATGCTCTGGGGTTGAAGGGAGGTAAGTATGGTCAGTTCCCTTGTCAACGAGTCAATGCCACTAATAATCCCCCAACCAACTAACTCTCCAAAATCTGAATCAGTTGTCAGCTGCTTTGGAAGGTTTGGATCCACAGTCTCTATGTTGTCCGGACTGACCCAGCTCAGTGCAACAAGCTGTGCATTTATTACTTGCAATGTGTGTTCTCTTGGTACCTGGTGGCTACATATATGAACCACCACACTTGTCCATGACAGCTTTACTAAACTGGATGTTTTATTTTGGATCTGTTGTAGTTGTTGGACTACAAATTGGCTGACATGACTTGCTATAGCCAGTTCTCTCAAAATCTTGGGTGTAAAGGAATGGGGAGTGTCTTTCTTTCTTACTGTAGATGGCAAGACAAATAAGCTGTAATAAAGCTCATATTTTTTACCCTCATTGACAATTCCTCTTTTAGAATTTACAACGTAGTTACTGTTTAATTCAGCAGGATAGTTTCTGTCTCGGCAACCACTCTGTAGCTGAATGACATGAGTTGGATTTATAATTCGCAGTACATCAAGCATAATACTCACACCGGTACCTCGAGTCCACCCCATAGTATTCACCAGTAAAGGCACTGATGGCTGTTTCTGACTTATTTTATGCAAATACTGAACTGCAGCCATGTATCTTTGAAGCATAAACTGAGGACTCGTTGCACCGACTAACACCTGTTTGAAATAGGGTGCGTCTTTGGAGATATTATGAGTATATGCTGGTCCCAAAAGAGGTTTCGTTAATCGTGCCAATGACACACATGCAGGCAATGTAAATTCTGATTGTCCTGGGTCAAGGTCAAGGCACATAATACCAGAATCTGACCCACTACTTAGTAAGGTATTGGCGATGTACTTAAAGAGAGTAGACTTTCCAACATCCTTTCCTCCACACACCACAACTCGAGGCACTGTGGAAAAAAGAAAAAATAACATCACTTTTCTAGGAAAAATCATATACTGTACTCTTCAATTTGCTAATACCTACTGAGGGAGTCAGCCACAGATTTTTTTAATTCTGTCTGACTGTTGGCATAACAAAGCAGTGTAATATCAGTAAGTTAAAAAAAGTCAAAATCTTATAGCCTAATAGAATTTAAGATTAAGTATCGTTAGAAAAATAAAAAGTACATTGCTACTATTGTACTATGCAGTGTGGATACAATATTTAACAAAGCTGGAATTTTTTCAGTTTTTTTTTGGGGATAAGACCAACGTGGTACTCTATAGGCAGACACTAATATTATAGCAATGTTAAAAAAATACTGTATATAATTCCACACTTCCCAAATAGTAGTCATAAACCCGAGGCTTGAAGAAAGGCAGATTGTTGGAGGGAGAGAATTCCATAGCTTGGCCTTGGAAGGAAAAGAAGTACAGTATAATGATCTATCTTTGAGTGGCTGGACTCGACAGTTTATTTGTAAGAGGAGACAGCCTGCCATCATTGCCATGTGCCTAAGAATCAGGTTTTGTGACCCTGCCCATTGGCACACAGTCCTGAGAACAGTGATTGAAATATTACTTGTAAAAGAGAGGGGAAGATGCAACACTGCAGTGAAGAGAAAAGGACTGACAGAGGTGCAGTGATAGTATGAGATTAAGTCGGTGAGGCAGAAGGCTTTTGACTCTAATTGGTATATGAAAGAGCCACCTAATATACATGATCAACTCACGCAATTCAAAAACATAATACAGTGATCCCCCGGTTAACGAACGCCTCAGTTAACGAAATTTTGGTTAACGAATTACCTTCCATAAGAATCTTCAATTCGGTTTACGAAAAAAATTCGGTTAACAAAATTTTTACGAAATCACGTCAACATGTTTTCGCTTGCTCACCAGCTGGAATATTAGTCCGCCAATACAGTAATCGGTTCTAGGGCTTAAATTCGTTCCCATTTGTGTAAATATCAAAAAGGTTGTACTATTCAATAATTTTCCAAGTTTTATATTAAAATTTTTAGTTATTTTAACACTTATTTAACATAATTGCAGTACAGGAAACTAGTTTTTGGTGCGCCAATCAGCCACTTGACTCACCCAGCAAGGCGTCAGTTTGTATCTCTGGTCAGTGGAGGTAACATCTTGCTTGTGACTCTCTTGAACATAAACTACTTTTACATTTTTACAGTACAATTATTGGTAATTCTGAATTTTATTTTACATATTGACAATATATAGTGCAGTGCAGTGTTGATTTAAAGAAAATAATCTTGAATTACACCTAGTGAACTTAAAATTTTATGGGTGAAATGATGGCATGAAGCATGGGGTGATTTCTCTTCCACCCCCACTTCCTTCTCTTCTCCCTTCTCCTCCACCCCCACTTCTAATTCCCATCATCATCAACCAGGAGCCTTCTACATACACACCTCAAAGTAAGTGTACTTTACTGCATTTATTTTTACTTTGTATGTAATTTTCGGTGAGCTGGAACCAATTACCCAAAATCCCATTGAAACAATGGTTTCGGTTAATGAAATTTTCTGTTAACGAACGATCTTCTGGAACAAATTGTGTTCATTAACCGAGGGACAACTGTACTGTACTAAAGATCAGAAAAAACTAACAGGACTAAGGAGTAACCAAGCTAAAGCTGATTGAATCACAATGAAAATATAAAGAGAATAGATAGTGTAGCTGGTCAGGGAAAGAGAGGTTCATACAAATAAAACTTCTTAAACAAAATAAAAGAAGGGTGTTGGAAGCATATATGGTGGGAAGGCTGGGAGATTATACAGTACTTAGGAGGGAGGGATGGTAAACTGGTGTAAATACGGTAATTTTTTTATCTTATTGATGAAAATGATAGTTGTTATTGTGGACAGAAGTCTGAATAATGCGTGTGAGTGAATAAAATAGTACAATACAGTATTTCATGATATGCAATGTTTAAATTTATTTTTATCTTAGCAATTTCTGTTCATTTTTGAAGAATGAAATTTGAAATTTGTTTAAATCTGGCTAATCTTATCATTAAATAGTTTAACTCTGAACCACATTGTTTATATAGTGTTAAAGAACAGTCCAATAAATATGCCATTGGAGTGTAAATTTGAAACAATAAAGATTGATGTTGTTTAATTAGATTTAGTTTTTTTCAGCAAATGATTAGCAAAATTTCAAATGTTTTTAATGCTTATTCTGCATATTCATACCTTTCGGAAATTCGGTCACGGTAGAATAACAATTAGCACGAATTTGCGAGGTCATACTGTAGCTCCAGCTGCCTTAAGTTACATCTTAACCTGGTTCCTATGCTTCATCCTTGGGAGGGCTTATTCTTAGGTCATTCTAGAGAGGTGTAAGTTGTTAATCTTAACTACAGTAGATCAATACAGTACAATTTCAGTTAGCTTACCAGAGCCACAAGTCCACCATGTTTTGATGATGTCAATAAATTCATGCCATGATGGGTTCGCTCTGAAAAGCTTGTAATGTTTGCAATTGGACTCTGTAATAAGAGTTGCTCGAACATTATACCAGAACTCCTGTTTTTCTTTGCTCTCCAGCAATCGTTGCCAACCAGCCTGTGACAAAAACCTTGCTACTGGTGGATTTTGCCTCTGTATCTCTAGTATCAACAATGGTCCAGGCTGTAAAATAAATGGATACTTGAGTTTTCTATATAAAAGATGGTACAGAAAATAAATTAGACATTCACATACCAAATCATTACCCTGTACTTAGTACTTTGTCCTTAAGCCCTGTAATTCCTTGTTAATTTTTTTCATTTTCTTATAAGAGCAATGAATATATCTTAAATAATTCCAATATAATGCACCAGTTATATACAGTGGTCCCTCGGTTAACGACTGATTCGATTAACGAATTAGCTCCCAAAAGGATTTTCAGTTCGATTAACAAACAAAACTCTGATTAACGAAATCCTTACGACAAACACGTTTTGTTGTGCGCATCAGCTGATCAGCTAGTCCGCCAATACAGTAATCAGTTCAATGTTTACATTCGTGTCCAGTGAAGTAAATATCAAGAAAGTTGGTCTCTTAAATATTTCTGCATTTTTATATTAAAATTATTGATCATTCTAAAATTCAGTTAACATATCGATAATATATACAGTACAGGGTACAGTTTTTTGTGCACCCATCGGCTGATTGAATCACCCAACACTGCTTCTCAGTTTAACTTTGATTACAGTGGAGTGAACACCGATTTGTTGGTCTCTTGAATATTTTTGCATTTTTACATTAAAATTATTGGTCATTCTGAAATTTAGTTAACATATTGATAATATACAGTGCAGAAATTATTATGAAACATAAAGAAGGCATTAGAACCAATGCACTCTGTAAAGAATATGGCATGTCATCATTGACTGCCTCTACAATCAGCTGTTTGATGTGCAAATAAAGCTGCCGGTAATACGACATACACACCTCAAAGTAAGTTAAAATACAGTATTTTATTGTTTTTTATTTATTATTGTACAGTACTGTATTTAGTTTATATTTAATATTTTGTTAATTCTATTACTGGTATACAGTACTTTGTAAGTAACATTTCTGTGAGTTGGAACCAATTACCCAATATCCCATAGAAATAATAGATTCTGTTAACGAACGACTATGTGGAACGAATTGTGTTCGTTAAGCGAGGGATCACTGTGTGATTTTATCAAGATTTATCTTATCCACGTTTTCATTGTGGATCTACATGAAATATACTGTATGTATGGTGATGGTGCATTATGTTTTATCCCCCTCAATAGCTGGAAAAAAAAAATTATATATATATATATATATATATATATATATATATATATATATATATATATATATATATATATATATATATATATATATATATATATATATATATATATATATATATATATATATATATATATATATATATATATATATATATATATATATATATATATATATATATATATATATATATGTACTGTATATGCTGATAACCACAAGGAAAAAAGAAAACACGAAGTTCCCAAGCGCTTTCGTGTAATTCACATCTTCAGGGGTGAGTACAGACTGAGGAGAAATGCTTGAAAAGGCTAATATATACAGTAGAGGAGAGTGAGATCAAGTCCTTAGGGGACGCTCTCGTACGGGACAGAAACGTTTCGGTCTAGAAAATACGCGCGTCATTTGAAAAAATTTTCAGTACCGACTGCGGCGGTCATATGTGCGGGTGGTCGTACCAACTGAGGCAGGCCGTTAGTGCGGGTGGTCATAGGTCGAGTACTGTATGTCGTAAGTCGAGGAGTAGCTGTATATTTTTTTTTTATTGATTATTATTATTATCATTATTATTATTGTTATTATTATTATATTTTCGCCCCCAGGCCCTGATGTGGGTTAGTGACCTGTGCCCGAATGGGCTAATCCCTGTAAAAAAAAATAAAAAGTATGTGTGTGTTTGTACACACACACATAAAACACATCCAAATAACTAATAATGGGAAAATCCTCTGACAAATAATCAGAAACAAATTTATTAAAAATGTGAGTCTAACCTTAAGTCTACTCCGTGCTTTATTAATAATGAAGCACGGAGTAGACTTGAGGGTAGACTGTCACATTTTCAATAAATTTGTCTGATTGTACATATGTGTGTACAAATAAAAAACAATGGGAAAATAGTAAGAACAGTTCCCAGTTATTGAGGGGGATAAAACATTATGCACCATCCCCTTCTCCAGGCATGTTCAGTAAAACAGTGTCTCTCAGTGGAAGGAAACAGCTAAAAATAACAGAGGGCCCTGAATATTAAATAAGTAATTAATCAAAAATTTATATAAGTAAAGGGTCTATAGTTTTCATAAGAGAGCGAAAGCACTCCGGACATGGGTGACCAAGTACTGATCACTGGATGCATTAATTGCACTAAAGTACTTCACCAGTGTGAAAAACTTTCTCAGTCAAGTCAACAGAAATGGGCAAAGAGCCAATTAAACAACCCAAAAGACAGGAGAGAAACGGGTAAGGCAGCAAAACAACATAATGATTAAACACAAAGTTTCATTTAAATTCAACATTTTAAGTTCTAAAACTGTGCATTAGCAGATGCAATTACCTCCTCCGTGATGATATTTTGTAGCCAACTGGTTGGTATTTCCTTGTCCTGGAGGCGGCTATCTGTAGGGTCTATGTTGTGAGCACTCACTACATTAATATCAAGTAAGGCAGCAGAAGTCACAGAATAAATTGATTGTACCTCTCCCTCCTTCAGTGTGTAGCCCAGTATTTTCACGGTACCCACAAGTGGACAGACTTGCACCACACCTTTGATGTATATGGTTGAACCAGGGGTGAGAGCTGCAACAAGTGTCTCTCTTTTAGTTACAGTTACACCCACAACCTTTCCTATTGGCCCTCTTTTGGAGAATAATTTCCCATTTTCACTTCTATTAGGAAATTTCTCATCTTGGGCAAATACAGACATATCATCTGAGCCTTCCTGTCTCACATAACTGTCTTGATATTCTAGTAATGCATCCTCTTGCTTGTTTTCCAAACCAGTAACCCACGTTTCTTCATAACTCTGCGACATTTTTTGTTCTTCATTGTTGTTACCCACTTCACATGAATAAGGCTCTTCCCAGCCATCCAGAAAATCAAGGTGAGTATCAGCTTGATAGGATTCTTCAAAATAATTCTCCTCTCTGAGACTAGAACCTTCTACTGACCCCACAACACATGATTCTCTAACCTTTTTGGTTTTATTTTTCTTTGATAGTTTTTTACCACATTTCTTCTTAAATGTGGAAACAGAGACCCCAGGCACTACTTTTCCATTCTTTGTCTTCTTTTTTACAGAAACAGAAACCTCAAACTTCTTCTTTGTCTTCTCTTTACCTGAAGCAGACATAGTTGAGGTCTCTTCTTCTTTCTTCCCATTAACTGAAATTGGAACCTTGGCCTTCTTTTTCTTTTTCAAAGTAACTGAAGTAGAAACTTCAGATTCTTCTTCTTTCTTCCCATCAACTGAAGTAGGAACCTTGGCCTTCTTTTTCTTTTTCAAAGTAACTGAAGTAGAAACTTCAGATTCTTCTTCTTTCTTCCCATCAACTGAAGTAGGAACCTTGGCCTTCGTTTTCTTTTTCTTATTTACTGAAGTAGAAACTTTAGATTCTTCTTCTTTCTTCCCATTAACTGAAGTAGGAACCCTGGCCTTTTTTTTCTTTTTCTTATTTCCTGAAGTAGAAACTTCAGATTCGTCTTCTTTATTCACATTAGCTGGAGCAAGAACCTTGGACTTCTTTTTCCTCTTCACCCTATTGACTGTAGCCAAAATTTCATGTTCTTCCCCTTTTGTCTCATTAAGAGGAGTAGGAACCTTGGACTTGTTTTTCTTTGCTTTCTCATTAACTTTAGTAGAAACCTCGAGTTTCTTTTTCTTTGTTTTAAAATTAACTGAAGTGGAACCCCCAGGCTTCTTTTTCCTTGTTTTCATGTATTGGGACACAGGAACCTCAGAAGTTGGAGATACTGTTGAGTCAGAACACTGTGTTCCATTTACCCCCAGAGGGTTGACACCCTTTGCTGTCTTCTCCATTTTGGCCTTCTTACACGAATTACTTTCTTCAGGGTTGGGACCATCAGTTGTGCCTGTTAACTGCTGTACCACATCTGGTACACCCCTCTTTCGTTTCCTATAATAATCAATCACATACAGTATTAGACATGAAAAAATGAGGAATTGATTCTGTAAAGTCCATTTTATAGACCAGCATGGATCAGGTGACACATGCACAGTTAAAGAGATTGAAAACCAAGGTCTCAGGCCACATGATAGCTACCTGACATCTGTGACTGGAGGTAATTCAGAACTGATTCCTATCTAAATTGAATATGGTTTTCATTCTACTTCCTTAAAAATAAAAAAATATAAAAATATAAAACACAAATTTATATCACTACACATGCAAGTTATGTTTACAGCTATATCCTAAATACACTGCTAGTTGTGTGGTGACTGACCCTTTTTAACCCTCTCACTACTGGACTTCACTTTTAATATTTTATTTGGTCAATGCTAGAAGATTTTATTTGGCAAAGAGAGACCCCTCATACCCAGGGTTAAGGGCTATGGTTGTAATGAGAAAGTATAACTAATAAAAAGATTGTTCCAACATTCTGAGATGAAGGTCTCATGGGTTCCAACCTGTAGACCCAGGCGAAGATATTTTATATGTCGATCATGAAAGGTACCAGCTCATAAAACTTTCTTAGATGTTGTACCCAGCCTACCCTTTTAGCTGACTATTATACTGGGAAAAAGAGATCAATCCATTTTGGGTATCCTAATTCCTGGAGGCAAAACATAAAGTATACCAGTACTGTATATATAAAATCAAAATTCACAATACTTATTATTAGACCCATTAGTGAAATTTATCATGAATTCTAAATTACCTACTTTTTAGTTATGGGCTTTGCACTGTGAAAGGAAGACTGCTTCTTGAAGTTATCTTTCCTTTCAACTTTCCTCTGGATAAGTTTCATTGAAAACATGTTGCATCAGCTTGATCCCAGCTCCAGCTACCTCTGAAGTAAATGTACAAAAACTCAGACAATAAACACACGAATATTTAGATCATATACTGTACTGCATTCACATTATCCCTTAATAAATTCACAATTAAGTGAGGGTGAAAAAGTTGAACTAAGTACGGTACCAGTATCATACAGTCTACTTATCAACTCATGTTGAGTGAAAAATGCAGGACTTATCCTGAAATCTCTTTTAATGATTAAGCCCATTGCTGAGTGACCCATGTATTACACCACCCATGATCACAGGGTTAAAACCTGGGAAACCCTATGTTGTTGTGGCAGGGACTCATGATGAATTTGCCTCCCCATTGCAAGCAGGAACTTAAAATAAATCATACATCAAGTAGAGATTGGCTACATAGAACACAATGGGCAGGAAGATTAGTAAGCCATAGTGTCACTTTGGAAAGCAACTCACCAAGATGAATGGGTCAGCCATATTAAATGGATGTCAGGATCACCCATTCAGTTCCACCTATGGTATTTTCTTCTACCCATAGTGAGTAGGGAAGATATTCAAGTTGCCAAGTTGCTTGACTATCCAGGGTAGTGTCTATGACTTGCACAAATCCCTTTTTTTTCTGCATAAAAGGCTCTTAAACCTATTCAGTTTATACAGGATGAGGATCATATTGTTGTTCCAATACCGTATGAGCAGCATTGGTTAATAAGTAAACTGATGTTTGTACACGTATTGTTCTTCCTCAAGGAAGAGGACTGAGGTAGAATCCATGTTATTTTTCAATGGCGTCCTTATCACAATGTGTTCGGTATCGTATCACAAGTTTTCTGTAAGTGTTCAAAATGCAGCAGAGACCTGACAGAGAAGAAGTAATATGTTTCAGTACAAAAACCAATTGTACTCCAACATCCACAAAAAAAATTTAAAATAAAATTACACCATGCCTCAAGACAGTTGCTTTCATTGGTACCAGATATCAAAGCAAGCTCTTTCTGCTTAATTTGCCGGGGGGAAGGGAGACAGAGCGAGCGAGATACTTAACATTTTATTATGTATGTTGATACGTGGCGGTACGCACCCACAACATAGAACGACGTAGCAGTACAAACCTAGAGCATCAAATGACCGTGGAGCCCCCCAGGTTAAAATAAATTAGGTTAGGTAAAATTCAAAACTGTTTTTCCAATGGTTTTTGATGTGTTTTGAACACTTTTGGCCTTGATTTTTATAGTAAATCTCTAAATTCTGAGATGAGGGGAATGCCTTATCTCAGAAACTATTGATTTGCACCAGAAACAAAGGTCAAATTCGATCATAACACATCAAAAACCATCGGAAAATTAGTTTCAACTTCGATTTCATATTGTGGCGACAAGTGAAATTTTACCCAGACTTGGTAAAACACACACACAAACAAAAAATTGTCGTACCAAAACCTGAGGACAGCCAATGGACGAATATTTACCGTATACCTGAAGTAGTCTGAGTTCTGTATACTATATTGAAGGGTAATTATTTATGACTTCATAGCCACTGATTTTTCATAAAAAAAAAAGATTTTAAAAATGCCATAATTTCACTGTGCTTTATAGTGGACACGGTCGTAGTTATGGCAAATGTGTTAAACATGTTTACTGAAAATTCAGTTAATATATCGAACTAACCCATGGACGAGTTATTTGTATTACTGTTTATTTTCTTACTTTACTTTCATCAGTGAGTTCTGTTATGGTAATCATTTCTTGTGCAAATGTTTCGTTTTGTAGATAATTAGGTGCCTAGGTGCGCAATAATTTGTCGTCCCAGCAGTAATGAGGCCGCGCTCTGCTGCGGCACTTTTCCCTGGGCTCACGGCAGTTTCATTTTCAGCATGACGTGTGAAGTTTGTCGCTGGTCATATATGGACGTAGTTTGTGAATTTAGGGATAAAGACAATGAATCCCTTCAATTGTGCTTTCAGACCGGAAAGAAGTTTGTTCATCACTTCCTCAATGCCAAGGCTGGACGATTCCCGCCGCCATCACAATAAATCACTCCACCGCCCAAGGTGCATAAGCACCGATGCGACCGCATGATCTCAAGTCCAGAAAAAGGTAATATTGCAGTAAACAGCAACCACAGAATTCCGGAAATTCACTACACTCAATCGATAGAACTATATTTTCTAAAATCATTTTCTTATACAGTATTTCGGAGTAAGGTAAGAAATACTGTAACGGCTATTTCTATTCTTGTGGAGGCTGACCAAGTGACTCCGGGTTATTACATAGCGTCTGGGGGTCCGGGGGTTAGGTAAGGTTTAGTTTGGTTATATTGTATAAGTTAGCAAGCACAGAGTACCAGGAATTCAGAACACACAATAGATAGAACTATTATTTCTACTTCTTTTTTTTTTTTGTAAATTACAGAATTTTTGTTGCGTAATGTGTTCTTCCGATGTTTTCTTGTTGCATTTCGGACAATTTTGGAATTCGCTTCTTCCACAAATCACTCATTTTGGCTCTCCCCCACCCAGAACCCCGAATTCCCATGCTTCCCCATTATTGTTAAAGGGAAGGGGGGGGGGCCTAAATCCAAAACGAGTGATTTCCAATAAAAACGAATGTCAGATTTGAACTAATCACATCAAAAACCATCATTTTTTTTTTATCAGATTTTTTGGTTGCTGTAATCTACAATTGTACCCAGAAAAAGCCTCAACTTACACCATATCATAGTAAGGAAGTTAGGTAGGTTTGTTTGGCTAGGTTGGTTAGGTCTGTTTTTCATACCCACTAAGGTTAAGTTACGTTTATTTTAGAAATAACCATTTTTAACACATTTGCACAAACTACAAGTGTCCACAACGAAAAACAGTGAAAATCTGGATATTTTAAAATAGTTTTCTAACAATTTCTGCCGCGGGTTAGTCATGAATAACATCCTAATAAAGATAACCTAACCTAACATAACCTGCCCTCAAACTAACCTGACCTTAAACTAACCTAACCTAATCATCTTAAATCTCACCTAATCTAGCACAACTAAACACCTGCCGTGGGTCAACTTACGGTCCTTCTTCGTTAACCACCCATCACTTTTTTACGATTTTTTCTCTTACCATTTAATAGATCTAATAGAGTAACGAAATATATACTGTACTTGAATTTAGCAGGACATTCCAAAAATAAATGCGATATTAGCAATTTATTTGTTGTAATAATCAAAAATTTTTCTTAGTCCCAATTTGATGCTATGGTGACACACATGGTAAATTTTCAGCATTACACTGGCAGTGATTTCATCTCCCTGGTTAATAAACACTGCGTCATTGGGGGGGGTTCCGGAGGGGGGAGCCCCACAACTAAGTAGGACGCGGCCTGTTAGGTTTGGTCAGGTCAGGTCAGGTTAGGTTAGGACATGGCCTGTAATGTTAGATCAGGCAAAGTTAAGTTAGTACGTAGACCTAGTTTACTTTTAATCTTTTTTCCCATGAATTTTTTCTTTTTTTTTTTTGCTAGTTTTCTTGGTGTTTGAGATGATTCCTACATTTATTTTGGGTGAAAATCACTAGTTTTCAGCTCCCCCACCCAAAACCCTGCATTCCCAACGTGGCCCACTACATTGTTGGGGAATAACTAAAAAAAAAAAAGTGATTTCCCCCAAAGATAAATGTCAGAATAATCTTAAAGAGCAAGAAAATTTGCGAAAAAATTATTTATTCATGTGAAAAAATGTGATGGGTGGTTAACGAAAAATTACCGAACTTACTGTTACTGAGACTGGGGGAAGCAACTGTGAAGTCCTCCATATTAGACTATATCATTCCACCACTTATCAGCTTACTAGCGGCTATCTGTGTTTGGTTGGTGTTGTCTGACATAATAAATGGGTCAGTTAATACTCGTTTAATATTTCAATACCTACATAGTAAATTTTTAGTAAATAAATGTTCTCTTCTCGCTTCCCTAGTGAGATGAGGTTAACACGTAGTTTAACAGTGTCAGCAGCCTTCAATTTTGCCATAATTTCCTTAAAACAGTATAACTGCTATGCTTACCACCATAGTTTGTTAACAGTCCGTCACCTGCACTCATAATAACGAGCTAACACGTGTAATCATCCTCTCCTGTTGTGTTTTGTCACGTGACCTTCGTTCCTAAGACTCTACGACCACAGTTCAAACCCGCTACTGAACAGGGCCCTCAATATTATTCAAATATTTTTACAACAGTTTACCTGAGCTTGAAAGATATGTTTTCTTAAATACTGGGAACATTAAGAAGGCCCATAAGTCTAAAAGAATATATCCCTACCATAAAGTACAGTAAAAACAAAAATCGTGTTTCGTTACTCAGGAAGGTTCAGTTACCGCCACCAAGGGTTCAGGCTTGGAGGCGGAACTCGAAAGCATGGTTGCACACAGCCTCGTACACTCCTACCATCTTGTAGTGATATTCCTTATTCATCACAAAATATCAAGAGTAATGGGAGCAAATTTAATATATTTTCTACGGAGCAATACGTTATTGGAAGTAATTACGAAAAATAAAAAGGATATTTAACAAATAAATCATTAATTAGAATATTAAGAGTAAAAATTCTTCGAAACCGTGTATAAATTGTAAGTAAACTTTATATAATTATGATTTAAAAATCAACTTTCTACTTTACTTTATCAAACTGCTATTTTCGATCACTGCTATCATATATTAAATTAACACAAAGCACAGTATTGTACAGTGTAAAATAGTCCTTAGCTCCCTCAATGTATATTCTTTGTAACTTAAGATGAACAAATAAACTAATTGGACGGCTTCAGCTGAAGAACAGAGAGAACATAAAAAGATATCCAAATCTAACACATCCACCCACCCACGCTAACACACTGACGTTAACAATGAACGTCTTCTTTACACACACACACACACACTTACTACTACTTTGCTGTCACTCGGAATCGAGTCTGACGACCATCCAGTTATGATACAATGATATGAGTTATTAAGGATGTCACCTAGGTTGGTGGGTTCTGAGGTGACTAAAGAGGCCGATACGGGACCGGCAGGGTCGATCACAGATGTTGCACATGTGGGGGGCTGCATCTAGCGTGGGAGGGGCAGCGGCAGCGTTTTTCCGGCGTTGGCGCCTATCTGCCTCGTTATGCAGTCGGGCTAACTCGAAAGTAATGACACCTTCTTGTGTGGTAATCCTCCAAGCATTACGGTGTGGAGTAATCGTCTCCCAGGTGAGAGGGGCGATTTGATACTTTTTCAAATGTGTCTTAAGATTATCCTTATACCTTTTCAGTTGCCTGCCACCGTTACGTTTACTATTCGTTAGGTGACTGTAAAGTAACGGCTTTGGCAGTCTACTGTCGTCCATGCGGGTGACATGGCCAGTCCAGCCTAGTTGTTCATGGATAATGGTAGCCTCGATGCTTTTACAGTTGGTGTCAGCAAGAATACAGGCATTTGTTCTCTTGTTTTCCCAGCGAACTCGGAGGATGGAACGTAGACTACATTGGTGAAAGTTTTCAAGTGCCTTGATGTGCCTCCTGTATGTGACCCATGTCTCGCTGCCATATAGCAGGGTGGGGAAGACCACTGCTCGATATGCGTGTAACTTTGTAGATAATTTCAGCTCCCTACAGCTGGAGACACGGTTTCGGATTCTTCCAAAGGCTTAATATGCACATCTGATCCAATGCTGAATCTCTTCATCGATGTCCGCGGTGGTGGACAGGTGGGAGTCGAGATACCGAAGGTGGGTAACATTAGCGAGGGTAGTACCGGTAAGCTGGATGGATGGTGGAGGTGTGGCTGAGCCAGAGGCAGGCTGAAAGAGAATCTGAGTCTTACGTACATTTACCTCAAGGCCGAAGTGTGCATTCGCATCTGCGTAGGTGTTCAGGATCTCCTGTAGGTCGCGTTCAGTGTGAGCGACAAGGGTGGGGTCGTCTGCATACTGAAGCTCAATAATGGAAGCTACCGACACCTTTGTTCTTGCCTGGAGTCGTCTTTGTTGAAAAGCCCCTTCATCCGGTACCCGAAGTCCACCCCACCGGCTAAATTGGCGCTGGCACGAGTAAGGAAGGCACAAATACACACAAAGATATGTTCGTAGGCACGCACACACACACACACACACACACAAATATATGTTCATAGGCACACACACACGCAAAGATATGTTCGTAGGCACGCACACACACACACACACACACAAAGATATGTTCATTGGCACACACACACGCAAAGATATGTTCGTAGGCACGCACACACACACGCACACACACACACACACACACACACACACACACGCACACACACACACACACACAAAGATATGTTCATAGGCACACACACACGCAAAGATATGCTCGTAGGCACACACACACACACGCACACACACAAAGATATGTTCATAGGCACACACACACAAAAGATATGTTCGTAGGCACACACACACACACAAGATATGTTCATAGCACACACGCAAAGATATGTTCGTAGGCACACACACACACACACGCACACACACACACACACGCACACACACACACACACACACACACACAAAGATATGTTCATAGGCACACACACACGCAAAGATATGTTCATAGTATAACACTACACTAAGTATAAAGGTGTACATCGAAAATATACTTTCATAATTCAGGTATATGTTAACTCTGTGATTAGGTTAGGTGAGGTTAAATTAGGTTAGGTAAGGTTTAGTTTGGTTAGGTTAGCTTTGGTTGAGGTAAGGTAGACGGGATCATTTAATTGTTGTATATTGTATAATTTTGAATATAGAGAATTGTACTTTATTTTTCAATGTCTCCATATACAGTATACTCAATTGTATCTCATTATTGTGTAAATATTCCTACATACATCGAATTGGATTCTACTTAACTCAACTTTGTATCAATGTAGAGATCTTTATATGTATATTATTTGACTAAGTCGCCAATGTGGACAGCTAAGGCATGCAATGGTGACTAAATTAGGCGACAGTTGACGCAAGAGGTGGGGTAATTTATAACAGACGCGATGCCTGACGAAAATATCACCACCGTGCAGAATACTGAAGCTCATGCACCTTCCTCCTTTCCATGTGTCTCCAGTTATTCCTGACCTCTTGATCATTCTGGCTTGGCACACTCTCAAAAATTCCGCTCTCCTCTGCTGACGCTGGCGAAAGAAGAGTAAGCTGACATCGACATAACACAAATACCCCCAATAAGTTATTCGATTACCTCAAGATTAGCGACCTCAGTTTATTTCACCTGATGATTAAACACCCTATTGCTACCTGTGGGGTTAAGTTAGGTTAGGTTAGGTGAAATAAGCTGGAGTGTCTTATCTCCAGATGATCCATTTATTCTCACGCTCTCTATATATAACCACAAGTGTGAGGGGGTGATCAAGGGTACACAGTTAACATGTGGGGAGGAATCATAACAAACTATACACAACTGTATACACTCGTGCCAGCTGCCAACTCCCGCCTTTCACTCGTGACCTTGACCTTCAACTGTGTTTTACCCCATAAACATAGATGCTTTGAGATTGTTATGGCGACTATGTATACTGTACTTATATGAGAAGTATGAACACTGTATTGCTAATTGTTCTTGAGGTATGCTGCCAATATACTTACGGAGACAAAAGGCACTGACCGACCTACTCACGTGAATCTCAGTGCGAGTACGGTAATAATGAAAAGGGTAAAGAGGAAATCTGTATGAAGAGATGTTCATGCACATAAGAGAGATATGATAATAACAACAGAAACAGACGAAGGCAAACAGTGACACCTGTTAATCTATCCAATAGGTTTTGTTAATGTTGTTATTGCCACACAAGAGCAATTTTAGCAAAGTATATACAGAGATGACTAATTTCAAAGTGCGAGGACCACATACACGTATAGTGTATGATCCATAGCTGAGCAAATTTTTTAAAAATGTTACTGGAAATCATTTAAGTATCTTGAAATGTAAAGTTTATTCTTGTTAACCAAGAACACGACCCACAGCTTTATCAAGGTTGTTGTTGATGACGATGTTTTTGGTGCCTTTACATCTAGATTCATTTTTTTTATTGAACTCGGTCTTAAGAAGTAGGTTGTCGGTCATCAGTGTTGGGACATACATGAGGCCAGGCGGCTGACAGGGTATGATAATAAGCAGTGACCAGAGTAGCTGGCAGGCCACCTGGCACCAGATACAGTCGGTGGTCACACATCACCGCGGGTCCTCTGACGGCACCATCGCGTCTGCTCTCTGGAATGAGATGTTGCAGGCGGTCGGTCGGTCAATGAAGAGAACTTAGTGTTCACTGCGTCATTAAAGACAGCCAGCAGTTGAGCCGGAACATCGCACGCTATACATTGCGGGTATAACCTTTGGCTCAACTCAATCATGAATGATGGCTTAAAGACGATGACATCAGAAGGTGCGCGCGCACGGTGGGGATATATATTGGACGTCAGGCACTGTAGGGTTTAGTTGTGGCTCGACGGGCCACACTGAAGCCAGAGTGTGTCTACCAGCCAGCTCGCGGCCCCAGAGAACATGCCACCGGGGGGCAGCACGGGTAGGCCTGTCCTCTCCCTCGCCTTGTGTTGTGTGCTCTCAGTGTTGGCCTCCCTCATACACACACCGGCTCACATCATCATAACACACCAAAATAAGCACACACCTATCATACTTGCTACACAATACCTGCATGAACTCAGGAGATACATTTCCTGTGTGTGCATGTGAACTTTTTTTTTTCATTTGATATGTTATTTAAATGCTACTTTTGCCCCCGTATTGGCCCTGAAAATAGCCCTTGACAAGACTATCAAGAACAATAGGGGGATCCTGCACAGGCTACTAGTATTCTTCCCTCATCGTGGCTGCCTCTAGTTGGGTGGCCATTAGGTAAATTAGTAGTTGGGCTCCGCCAGCCTATAGGGTTTGTAATACTTTTTGTGATACAGTTAAATTGCTGTGAGCATTCTTCAAGTCTCCGATGATGATGTACGTACACTCACGCGCCATAGTTTCGTTGTACCCTCTACCCTTACTCCTGACTCGATGGAATTTTCTGCCTTGGTTTCATACCGAACCTCCCCCCCCACCTCACTTCCCCCCACCCCATCGTTCAGTGGTGCAATGTGGTAGCTCGAAGCTTCGCTGGATTGTACGAATAGCAGTTCATGATGTAATATGTGAGAGAATATATGCACGATACATTTTTTTAGTGACTTCACATCACTTTATTTACCACCCTGACTACGACTTCACTCGAGCCAGGAGTAGTGGGTAGAGGGTGCATCGAAACTATGACGCGTGAGTGTACGTATAAAAAATAATAGGTGTGTGTGTGTGTATCGGTGTGTGTGTCAATACTTTCAAGTTAGCCCGACTGCATACCGAAGCAGACGGGCGCCAATGCCAGAAAGTCTCTGCCGCCGCCCCTCCCACACTAGATGTAGTCCTCCATATGTGCAACATCTGTGAACGATTCTGCCGGTCCCGTATCGGCCTCTTTACTAAACAACCTCAGAACTCACCAACGAAGGTGATATTCTTAATAACTCATATTGTTGCATCATAGCTGGATGATCGTCATACTCGATTCCGAGTGACAGCAACGTAGAAGTAGCGTGTGTGTTATGGTAACAGCCATTTGCGCTTGCTGAAGATTCACTGCATAAGTTCAATACTTCCTCTAAATTCTAACACCATGTAAAATCAATAAAATCTGAAGGAGAGGCATAAAATACAACGTATTAGATAAGCTCTATGTTGCCGGAAACACGAGGTTAAGACAGTAGTGAGAAACAAATACTGTACGGTACACAGTTCACAAATGTACAGTATGTCTCCTCAGCTCCCGGATCTCTCGCGATCAAGACCTTCGCGCGTCTTTCCCCCAAAATATGAAGGTAAATATTTACTTGGTTCTTATTTTAAGGGAAGTTTCAAGGTACACTTCACCTTCTACCACTACTACTCCACACCACCATTACCTCACACTATGATATTATTATCGTGTCCTCTGTGGTTATATATATATATACATATATATATATATATATATATATATATATATATATATATATATATATATATATATATATATATATATATATATATATATATATATATATATATATATATATGTGTGTGTGTGTGTGTGTGTTTGCGGAATCTGTTATTTTGCAAAATGACCGGCATACATATTGGTAATTTTGCAAAATAACTTACAATCAGACAACCTAAACAAACCTAACCTTATAGTTGAATAGGGTTAGGTTAGGATGGCTCGTGTAGCTTGATACACAGTTAAGTGGTCCTGTTTTGTTTTTTTAACTTTGGACTATGTGCTGTCCTAACCATAAGGTCAGATTAGTTTAGGTTGTCTGATTGTAAGTTATTTTGCAAAATTACCAATATGTATGCCGGTCATTTTGCAAAATAACAGATTCCGCAAAAAAAACGTAACATATATACACTAGAGAAGTAATTGGATATACTGTAGATACTAGATAGCCATATAGATAGATAGATATAACGATACGCATAAATATTTGGATACATAGCTGTCTCCTCCCTCTCTTGTATACCCTTCCTGGGTCCACGATAAAAACCCCACCGGACAAAAACCCCAGGACAAAATCCCCACCGGACAAAAACCCCTAGGACAAAAGCTCCACCTCTACCGGTCAAAAACCCCATCTCTACTGGACAAAACCCACAATGGACAAAATCCCCTCGCAGTAAAAGATAAAACAAAATCTATTTATAGTTTTTAATAGCTAACATTATGAAATGTAATTTACCTGATAAAGAATAAACTAAAACATTATAAGCATCAACATTTACCTCAGGTTAAAAAAATAAGACGAAATCTATTTGGAGTTTTTATTAATTTCTTACAAAACCACTTTGAAAATATCTCTTATTGCAACCTAACCTATCCTAACGGGTCCCCTGAGGTCTCAAAAAGTCAGGACAGTAATGGTAAGATCTAATATCAAAGTGGGATTTTTGTCCGGTAGGGGTGGGGATTTTGTCCTGTGGGGCTTATGTCCGGTGGGGATTTTGTCCTGGGATTTTTGTCCTAGGGGATTTTGTCCGGTAGGGTTTTGTCCGATTCCCACCCTTCCCACACCAACACCCTCCCTCTCTTACCTTGTGGTGTCTACCCCTCCCCTTCCCTGCCCTCCTCCTCTCCCTCACCCTGGGACAGCTCAGGTGTTTCGGGGAGGAGGAGGGGGGGTGAGGCCACTCTGGCGTTCACGTATTTTTACCTTCACCTGTCAGGATCACAAATAATAACTAATTGTACTTGGGGGACGGTAGTGTAAGGTGAGCCGTTCCCCTCAACACACACCAGGAAATAGAATCACGGAGAGGGAAAGAAGGAAGAGAAGAGAAGGAAAGGAAGGAAGATAATGGAAGGAAGAGAAGAAGGGAAGGAAGAAGAGAAAGAGGGATAGACAAGAGAAGTACGAAGATAGGGGAGGGGATAGAAGATGGAGGTAAGGATAACAGACAGAAGGGAATGAGCTGGAGGAAAAACAGGAGGACAAAGGGAGAGAATTAGAGAAAGAGAATGGCAGCGAAGAGAAAAAGGACAGAGGGAGAGAGAGATAATAGAGTGAGACGATGACTGAAGAACGGAGAGGCAGGGAGAAAATGGGGAGAGGAGAGGGTCTAATTGGATAAAAAACAGGGAGAGGATGACAGTGGACATGATGAGAGGGGAGAGAGAGAGAGACGGGGGGAGGGAGTGTGTCACGAGCTGGTCGAGGTCAGTGCGCCAAGTTTAGGTGAGACGCTGGGATATTTATATTGTATGTGTTGTTGATCTGCCCCCCAGAGGCTGCAGGTTACCTTACGGGGTGTGTGAGGTGGTGGTGTGAGACGGAACACACACACGTTACCTGGGTGGTTAGGTCAGGTTAGGATAGATTAGGTCAGGTTAAATTAGAGAAAGTTAGGTGAGCATTTTTTCCTCTGCTGCATATAATGGCAACCCCGCTAAAAAAATAATCATGACTATCAATTACTGTACTATCTACAAGCAAAATTTCCCAATTTCGTTCGGGTTAGATTCATACTATATAACCTTGATTGTCAGTTTGCCCTCCCCGACACGGGTAATTTGCTACCTTCCGCAATCGCCATGGCGATATCTCAGTCAGCGGTCCGTGGTCAATAGTAGCACCAAGGTGCACAACCTTAGCTCCCACAAGTTTTCCTTACTACTTTTGATTTCCAATAATAACCCCCTCCTTTCCACCCACTCTGGTAAAAAAAAACGCATTTTCTCGAAGGTTCGTACGGTAAATGTTCTTCGTAACTGAACACGTACTATGGGCTCCTGCCTCCTGAACATGCGCCAGTGTTGGTCAAGATTGGTCTTAGGTTGGCTTACACTCGGTTCTGTCATAGCAGTTTATTCCAAGGGTTCACAACCCCTGCCCAAGCGGTTAACAGACTGACAAGTGGTGAAGTTAAAGTAATGTCATTCACCAGTCCAGTAATTGCTCACAGATATTACAGCTGCAGCTGTTAGGAGCCAAAGATACACCCTGGCCCACCTGTTGGCGTTTGCTGCTCAAATCTTAACACGTAAATGGAGAGACACTGAGACAGTCATTGAGACACCTGTTTACCATTTAATGAGGTCAGGTGAGCAGTGGCGTACCACACGGCCATTACTCCTGGCTCACTCACAAGATGTCACTCAGAGTATTTCCTCTTTAATGTTTATAGTCCCACGAGCCAAGATCATTAATGGCAAAGGAAAGTTGTAAAAACAGTAGCATTAGCCGTTATGTCATCATAGCCACCTTACTTGTTCGTCGTAGTGTATGAGCGCCAACGATAATATTAGGCCGCAAGGCACGAGTCTAAAATAAATTAAGTTTGTTGATGCTCGTCGCTCGCGTCACTTTTTGTGTTGTACATAATAATTATTATGAGATCGTTTTTCTGATCCAAATTTGTGATTTTTTCTGACAATTCACAATGGTAAGAATAGATTGTTTTGTAAGTAAGTAAGGGTCTCTTCTGTTTCATGAACCGTATTTTTTAATACAAATTTATTAATCTGACGTAGTTCTACATTCTAATTTCGAAAATATATATATTTTTTAAAGAAAATATTAGAAAGTACTGAAAATAAAAACAATATTTAGGGCTCTGAATAGATGGAAGAGGCTATCCTGTTATGGATGACACTCCCCCCCTCCCACATTACCAATATTGGTTGTTCAACGTAAGCAGGGCTTTGCAATAGAGGGAAAATGTTGTTAAAACGGTAAAAAAATCCAAACAAACCTTTTAAAATCATACCTAACTTACAAAAATCCTATAAATATGAAAGCTTACCTTATTCGTGTTAATGGGTGTTTAGTATGTGATGGTGGTGGCGTTTTCGAAAGCGAATTTTAACCTTTTTATAGGTTAGGGAAAGTTAGTTAAGGTTTTCAATGGTTTGTTTGTTTCTCCAGCAAAATATAAATATTTTTTAAATCAGAATGTAAAACTACATGAGGTTCATGTGTTTTTATTAGAACATTTTGCAGTTCATCAAACCGAAAATATGTCATGGAAGCCACATGTCCACAACATTGCTAAAGGCCTAAAGCTGCTTCGCGAAAGCTGGGAATGCTGGCTGTACAGATGCCGTAGCTATTTCACTCATGAGCACTTGTTTCAAGTTTATAAGGGATTCAGTCGTCCTAACTTGGAGTACTGCTCTCATATCTGGGGTGGCTCTTCTGTCCAACTGTTAGGTAGGGTGGAGTCAAAGGCATTTCGTCTTATTGACAGTCCTCCGTTAGTTGATAATCTTTCTTCCCTTTCTCTTCGCTGCAATGTTGCTTCACTCTCTCTCTTTTACAAGTACAGTACTTTAACGGGCAATGTTCGGGGGATTTGACTTCCTGTGTACCGCCGGCAAGACCCAGGGCTCGTAACACTCGTCGTGCCCTCCGTTTGTCAGTGGATGTCGGTCACACTAGAATAATCCGTTATAGTACACCCTTCTTTCCTCACACAGCCAAACTGTGGAATGCTCTGCCTTCATCTATGTTTCCATACTCATACAATGTCTCATTTCAAAGAGCTAGTTTTCCAGCATCTTCGTGGTGTAGACTAATAAAATCTTTTTCTTTTCTATTTTTCGACCCCCGGGCCCCGTTGTGGATAGATGACCAGTGCCTGGTGGGCTATTCCCCTAAAAAAAAACAATGAAAAAAAAAAAAAAAAAAGGAAGACAATTCTAAGACCACAAATTTGGCATTTTATAAAGACCATCAGTGATGTTTGCCTTACAACATAATAAATACGATTTCAGCAACCAAATTTTAGTTAATTTTAAATTATTTTACAGCAAAATTTAATGTTTTACAGTATGTAATATCAAAACTTCGTTATATGATGTTTTAAGAATAGACTAAAGTATATGATGTAAGTTTTACTGCACTGTGTCAGTATCTGTTATAGCATGTTGTAGGTATTAGTAGTTCTTTCAACTGATGAACAGTACAGTTATAGAATCACCTGCATCACTGTACACATAGGAGGTCGTACGCCAGGTGGCTGAAGCTGTGTCGCGTCCCAGCACACGCAGGAGGGCTGCTGCTGCTGTCGTAGCCGCTGCTGTCGTGCTGGCAGCCAGGCGCGCCGGGGAGAGACAGGTGAGTCGTAAGGAGAGGAAGAGGAGAACTGATAGTGTAAAAGAAACAGAATAGACATAGTGATGGGGGAAGAGAAAGAAAAGAACTAAATAAGTCCCATGGGTATATAAGTAGGGTGAAGTGGTACTGGTATGAAGAAGTTCGAGCTGTACAGTACTTAAAAAAATTTTTCGTACAGAATGAACAAGCCTTTTACCACAACTTGTAGTGCGAATCATATTGTAATTGTGTCAGATAACTACTGTACAGTACGAATCATGGGGCGCCGGTGGTAGAAGTGGTACCACTCGTCTCGCAAGCGAGATGTCACGGGTTCGATTCCCGGGCCGGTGGAAAAGTTGTTTGGACATACTTCCTAGCCCCAATTGGTCCCTGTTCACCTAGCAGTAAAGTAGGGACCTGTTGTAAATCAAAAGTTGCAAATTCGTATTCAGGGAAAGTTGTTGGAGCGTCCAATAACTTGATGACAAAAACGATTGACTCTTCAGGCTTCTACGCCCTTAACTCATGAGACATAAAGGCAAGCATGAACTTAGCATGCTTCCCTGTTGGGCGCTGTAAACGCTTCTGTGCTTCACCTTACACAAGGATGTAGGGGGGTGTCCAATAAATAACCAATAAAAAAATAAATAAAAAGTACGAATCATGTTGTGTTTGTGTCAGATAACTACTCGTCTACTCAGTTATACTTCAACAGAGTTAATTACTGTCAAATATATGTCAAAGTTGTCTCTTTCGACAACACAAAACTCGGCAATAGGACAGTTACCCATCAAAAAATTTTGACATAGTTATTCTTCAGCCAAAGCAATTACTGTACAGTATATATAGCCCCCTTACTGCAAGTCTTGAGATAGTTACCCCATGGTACAAAGATAGTTTCACCCTTTGCTAAATATTTGGGCTAATGGGATAGTATTTGTGGTAGCCAGTACAGTCTATTCCTCCTCCTCCTCCTAACTGCTATTTTATTTCCGTTCAAGTTTCTATTACTGTAAACATTTTACCAAGGGTGGATCCAGGAATATCAAAAGGGGGGGTCCAAGAAGTTGTGGGTGGGGGAACATGGCGAGCCCACCCAACTGGGAGAGGGGGGTGTAAGTCACCCAGAATTTTTTTAGAAACCTGACCAATATCATGAGTATTTTGAGGCCAATTTGAAGCCATGTGCACTTGATATTAGGAGATACAAGTATTCTGAAATCAATAGTAATTACATTTTGCTATAAAAAAAATGTACGAGTACAATAATATATCAAAGAAAAAATAATGGAATTTTCAAATTTATAAGGGGGGTCCAGACACCCCCCTTGGTTCTTGGATCTGCCCCTGAATACAACCTCGTTTAAGTGTGTTGCTATTAGTTGCTTTATGTTTTCTTGACCTTTGAGCATTACTCTGTGACCTCAACTTCAACTTACAGATTATTTGTGCCTGGCTTCTGTATTTCACTCTAGAAATATATTATCTATGTCTATTATTAAAATTAGGAACCCAGTAAGAGTTAGGAAGATTATAGAGAAGGTAAGAAAGTCTAGATTAATAAGAAAGTAAAGTGGGTTTTCTATGATACCGTTTCATTTAACAGAACAACAATAATACCGACAGCAGCAACAGAAGCCACCACAATAGTGTGACATCTCACCCTCCCACTACTGCCAACAACCACTTACGTGCTCTTAGTACTACTGATTCTTCAACAAGTTCACCAAGCAACAGGAGGTACAGCAGTAGCCATGACCATTCTGTGAATGCTACATTGGTTTCACCACAACCCATGATCCTCGTGGACCACAGAAGAATCATTGACCAAGATGGCAGAGAAGCAGAAACAATGGCCTCACTGAAACAAGACATGGCTATTATGTGATGTTGTGATGTTCCCAAGTTCCTCACGAAACACACTACTCCATTAATTCATTTTATACACTCCCCTCCTTACCTTGACCCAGTACAATGGACCAAGAGTTATTCAGATTAGTGTTTATGTTCTCATGAGCAGCTTAAACTTACATTAAGACTCTCTACAAGACAATACCCCCAAACAACTTAATTGAGCTGCTACGCTACACTGCCTTCCACTCATCCCAAACTACCACCTTTCTACGTACAGATCTTAGCTAAGGTTGGTTAGAGAGGACCCCTTGATGCATCTGTTGATCAGATAACAGTCATAACCTCCTTGGCAACCTATACATCCGACCACAACTGCTTATAGAATGTACAAACTCACTCCCGTCCCGAACTTTCTATATTCTTATCCATTACTAGAGAATGTTATTTTGTTTTAGAATATATTACAATACAGTAATCATTCCAAAGATTACTCAAGATGTACAGTACAGTAATGGCCTTCAAAATTACAATACAAGTTGGTACAAGATGACAATACAGAAAATTTTTATTGATACAGTACTGTATATATATGCTATTAAGTTAAAGAGTACTGTACTGTACTGTACTTAACTGAGCCCACAGGAAACTCAGTTATTTATTCAGTTATATAAACTTTTTTTTATATTATGTGACTGCATTACTGCTGTACACTTGGGCCTTGGATTTTAGTTACAATACACAGTACTGTACAGTATATAGATTTTACTTTTATAGTCTCAGTTATAGAGCATTTTGTAATAGGATAGAGATTATTTTCTTGATATTTGCTGATTGAAAATGCATAATGACTGGTGTTCTTATATTAAATGTATTAATGTATAAATAACTCATCATTACAATACTCTGTTAAAAACATGTGAACTAAATATTTTTACAATGTTTACTACAAATATTTAATCTGTTAAATATATTATGATGACAAATTCTATATCCTGTACTGTGTACTACGTAAAGATTGTCTCCCAGTTGAACAAACACTTATGTTTCCTGATCTAATTTACAATGTGAAATTCTATAATACAAATACAATAAAACATTATACAGTACAGTAAATAATAAAGAGGAATCCAATTGTAAATGCATCCTATTGTGAAGAAATATCCATAGTTTTACAAGTTTTGTTTTAATATGTATTACACTATTATTATTTTTTTTATTTCATTAATTTTGAGTCAGCTTTTCCATGTCTCCCTTATAATTCTGTTAAGTTCTATGATTGTTCGGAAGACTGAAGTGACATAAAAGTTTAAATTCAGTAAATGAAGTGAATAAACAAAACAACATGTTAGTATCAGTATTATTTCTCTTCAATAAAAAGATTAATTTTGATCATCTTATAAATCTTATCAAAATTTTTGTCATCCATCTGATAGATCTTATGACTGGGAGGGGTGTGGTTATCTATGCTTGGCGAGACCTTAGAGCCAGCCAGGTGAGGGTACAAAGGGAGAGGATGTTTTTGAAGAGTCCAAGTGGTGTAAAATTAAATTAAAGGGAGGGGACTTACTTATCGTCGGGTGTATCTACAGATCCCCAAACTGAGGCCCACTAAATCAAAGGAACTTAAGAGCCTTAATAGACAACGTGGCGATGCTCAACCCTAGCCACCCCCTTATCATGGGGGACTTTAACTATGGCGATATCGACTGGAGAAACGAGTTCACCCCAAATGACTTGAATAACCCTGCTACTCTTTTTGTGGAAACTCCGAGAGATAATTTTCTGTTCCAACATGTTAGAGACCCGACACATTACAGAGGGGAGCAAACACCCAAGCCACTAGACATCATCATAATAAACGAGGAGGGTATGGTGGCCAAACTGGAACACCTTGCCCCAGTTGGCACCAGTCACCATATAGTGTTGTCATTCAGATTTAACTGTTACCAAGTTCAAGATAAGTCCAGGCCAAGGTGCAAATATTACAAGGGAAATTACAACGGGATGAGGGAAGAGATGAGTGGTATCCACTGGTCTGACTCATTAAGGCACAAGAATGCAGACACTATGCTGAATATCATAACTAGCAAAGTGACCCATTTGATAGATAAATATATACCCAAGACCAATCCCAGTGCCTCTAGGAATACGAGGGGATCCCTACACATGAACCATGCAGTAGTTGACAAAGTTAAGAAGAAAACCCAGAAATTCAAGACGTGGGTTGGGTCAAACGATGAGCAGGACAAGATGATGTATGCAAGAGCAAGAAACCAAACAAAGGTTGTGTGTAGAAGGGCTGAAAAGGAGTTCCAGAGGCTGGTTGCAAGCGAGGTCAAGTCAAACCCAAAGGCGTTTTACCGCAAACAGTGTGTGGTGATTAATGGCACGAAATCATCATCTGTACCTGTCACAAACGAGGTATCACAGGGCAGTGTATTGGGCCCGCTGTTGTTTGTTTGTTTCATAAATGACATGCCTAACGTTGTACACTCCTCCATACAAATGTTTGCCGATGACGCCAAGTTATTTCGGGAAATCAAGAAACATGTGGATTGTGAAGAGCTGCAGAAGGATCTCTGTGAGCTCCAAGAATGGTCGAAGAAATGGCTGCTGAGATTCAATGTCACGAAGTGTAAGAGGATGCACCTGGGGCGTACCAACGGTAAGGAGGCGTATCATATGTCCCAACGGGATGAAGAAACTGCACTATTTGAGACTGAATGTGAGAAGGACCTTGGTGTGTATGTTGACAATGAGCTGAAGTTCTCAGGCCATTGCGAGAAGGTAAATCATGCAAATAAATTATTGGGTCTCATAAGAAAGTCGTTCAGATATCTAAACAGTCCGTCCCTCGTAACGATCTTCAAGAGTGAAGTGCTTCCCCCATCTGGAGTACTGTCATCCCGTCTGGTCCCCGAGATATGCAAGGGACTTCAGTTGGTTGAAAATGTTCAAAGGAGGGCCACCAGACTGGTGCCTGCACTTCGGCACCTCAACTACCCTGAAAGATTGGAGCGCCTGAACTTGCCTAGCTTATACTACAGACGGGCAAGGGGGGACCTAATTGAGGTGTATAAGAATCTCAAGGGGCACTACTCAGCCGAGTGTCCTTACTTGGAGCTGGCGGACGCTTGCCCCACAAGGGGTCACAGCTCAAGATTGAAGAAGCCGTAGGCCCAGAAAACTGTGAGGGCAAACTTTTTTGGAGTGTGAGTTGTGAACTCTTGGAACAATCTACCAGAAAGTGGTGACGGCATCGAGTGTGAGCTCTTTCAAGACCAGACTTGACCAACACTGGAGCAGGTTCAGGTACATTCAGGAACCGGTTCATGCCCAGTACTTGCCAACAGTGCCTAACAGACGTGACCGATCGCCCAAGTGGCTAACGAGCCGATCAGTGGTGAAGAGGATAAATGTAAAAAGTAAGCTGTTGATAAAAAATGACATACACACAACTGCTGTTACTTGGGAATTATTCAAGAAGCAAAACTCATAGTATTCTTACTTATCTATGGCAGTGGCATATGCAGTATAGGGGGGGGAGGCCATGTGGCCAAGCCCTTTTGCTACTGTCCAACTCATTCAACCCAAAGCTTTGGGTTGAGAGAGAGAGAGAGAGAGACTATGTGGGTGAGCAATAGCAGTTATTAACTCATGGAAATACAGTTTGGATCACATTTACAATATACAAAACGACAATAATTTTAAATCTTTTATTAAAAACATGGATTATATAGAAACTATGAGGGTAAATGAAAAGCTTTAGTCACCATGATAAAATTTGAAGAGTATGTTATCTGAAAGACATGGTGAAAATCTGGTTACATTACCAATGAAATACAAAGCTCACATCCTAGAAGACTAACTCCATTGACTAGCCCCTATAGACTTGATCACTTGTTGAACACACACATATATGCAAAATAACAAAAAAAAACAAGAAAATAAAAATAATTCTAATTCTGGACTCGGACCATTTCACCGTGAGTTCAAGTCATTACTGGGTAGTCCAACAATAAGAGTCACATATAGGGTCTGAAATTGTATGGTATCATGATAGTGAGGATACCAAGAAGGTAACTAAATTAAGATGCCAGAGAAGGATGGTAAGGCTTGAGGAAAGAAGAATAAAGCAGGTAGAGAAGTTGGACCTTCAAAAATTTTAAACATTATGAAGTAAACCATTTTTTCTGGCCCTGCATGTTAGTACAGCACAGTACAGTAATAGATATTCCAATATCAATAGAGGCACATACTTACAGTTGATAAGGTTGTCATGGAAAGATATTAGTGTCCAGCTGCCAGGGACATAATTCATAGGACCTTCACTTGCATCATCTCTTTTCTGTTAATAACTTAATATTGTCACACATTACTTTGGCAAATAAGAGGTTCAATAACAGTTATATGCCAAAATATAAAAAATAGGTTTGATGCAATGCACTTCATCTTTCAGAGTAAAAACTTTGCTCCAGTGCTTTCACTTAAATCTGATGGTTTGAAATAAGAACAATCAGGAAAACAAGAATGCCACTAAAGGTGGGCAAGCCCTGTCATCCCACACCAAAATCCAAAAGGACATAAACTTGGGACAATAACAAGGAGAAAAATTTGGGTATGGAACTCCTCAGAAACCTTGTGATAAATTCACATATCAAGTTTGGTTTAAATCAATTACTATTTGTTCAAGTCAATGTATTTATGTTCCGTCTGCATGGGTGAAAAGTGTTTTTTGTTCCCCTCCTAAAACAGCAGAGAACAATAGGATAAAAAATTTAAGTGCTAAAACATAATCCAAAGTTACATACCCTAATGAAACCAATTCCTAAACTTTAACTATGCAAATAATCCACATGAAACTCTGAAGTTACATACCCAAAAATGCTAGTATTTTTTTCCAATATTTTCTTCAATCATCTTACAGTGTATTTCAAAAACAGGATAAAAAAATTACAGGAAAGCCTCCGATAATGACGGTTCTACTAATTACGATTCATATTTAAGACCCTATTAAATTTACACCATTATTTTCTTTGTATTTACAAAGAAATTATAATAAAATTAAATCAAATTACATTTCCCTTTAATAATCAAATCCTGATACAGGTATGTATTACATAAAAAAAAAAAGCCTTGTGCATGGAGGCTGCCAGGCTTATGAGTGGTATAAACAGTCACAGCTTGGTGGGCCTTTTGTTTTCACGCATCTGAACAGGAAAAGGAGAAAAACTTTCTCGGGTATCTTACGGCATTTGTACATCCCTGTTCACATAAGCAAGAGAACAAGTGATGGTAGTGCTGGTTCAAAAGCTAAAAGAAAATGTATAAGCTTAACCGAGAAACTAGAAGTGTTAAAACGACATGAAAAAAGCGAGAGGTCTGTGGATACTATATGGAGCAAGCAATGAACATATTTTCTGAAGTGGATCCATTAACAGAATGAAGCATTAAAATTAACAGGGACATGAAAAACGAATATGACCTCTACATAAATATGTATAATGAGAAAAGAAAGCAGCTCTGCAAGGTTCTTTAGACAGCTTTATTATTCAAAGGCCTAAACCATCAACTTCAGCTACAGCTATACCATCAAATTCAGGTACAGCTACACCATCAACTTCAGGTTCAGCTACACCATCAAATTTAGCATCAGCAGCAGCTTCAGCAACAACTAAAGGTTCAGTAACAGTTTCAGCAAGAGCAATGGCATCTTTATGGAAAGCTACAGTTTCAGCTAGAGTTGAACCTGATGACTTTGTCACCTGAGTAAAAACTCACACAACACAACAACATCCAGTCTCATCCACATTAAACACCTGTTCTGGCAGGTAACCCCCCTCAGTGATGATGTTTGTATCTCTGAAAGTTGTAAGTTGAGGAGCACCTGTATTTAAAAATTATAGTTTGCATTTTTCATTAATTTTATTGTTTTGGGGGAAAAGACGGTAAAAAGCCACACAAAAGATATGAAAAGGACAGACTTTGGAATGCATTTCATTATTATTGCTTTATTTTAATGGTAAATAATGATTCACCTTACAGTACAATATTGGAGGACACATTACCGTCGTTATTTGAGGCTTTACTGTACAGTATTGTACACCGATCAGAAAAGGTAAGTTTCAAAAAATCTTGGCCAGATACCCAATTTAGTGACTCTTCACCTCCAAAACCTCATTAATATTACATCCTGTATTTCCTTCACTGTCACATAACACAATATTATATAAAGTCCAATGTCTTTTTTATGAAGTGCAGTCACCCCCCACAAGTAATCATCCAATGAATCCCATATTATTTTTTAGGAAACCTTGTCATAGCTATTTGTAAACTTTGTAATATGCAGTGCCTTCTAGCACTTACTTTTCACCCTTCTTTCAACACAGTATATATATATAAATTTTCAAGGTTTCTATCAGCAAAATTTAAAATGAATTGTCTGTTATTCTTAAACTGTAAATTCAGTTTCTCTTCATTAAAATAACAATCATCAAGATATCTAGTACTGTATAGGGGAAACTAGAGTCCACAAAATTATATGATTTAATATTCACTTCAATTTTCAATATTTAAATACTACAGTACATCCTGAAATTAGTCTTCATCTCCACACACAAATGCACATTTGTATATATAATGTACATATACACACAGGTATAGGACCATTCATTTGGCATGCTTGGGACCTGGAGGTTGCTAAATAGGTTTTTTCCACAGAATTTGGAGTGCCAGGCCTCAAATGAACAAAATGTACAGTAAACCCTCTATAAATGGCTGCAAAGCCTCTGTTCTGATCACTAGATTCACCTTTAAAAAGTAGCTTTAACTGTACACAGTAGCATTAAAACTTAAAATTGTAGAAACATAAACAGCAATAATGAAAGCATATAAATAGTAGTGATAATGAAAGCATAAAATGAGCAAAAAAGATACAAGTTAGTGTACAAACTGCATCACAGTTGCCCGGTACACGCCTTAGCAATGAAGCTCCGTTGCGGACCTCCGACCTCCGCACACGCGCCACCCAAAGATATATAAAACTTTATACCTTATGATAGTAATTCCTCCAATTTCTTTTGCACTTTTTTTATGTAGGATTGTGTGCATGTAAAAAAATAAAAATAAAATAAAATAAAATAAAAATAAATAAGAAAACCATTTGTATCTACCCAAAATTACGAGTTGAAAAATACTTTATACCATATGATATTTTTTCTTCACTTTCTGTATGTAAGAATGAATGTACTGTACAGTATATGTGATTGACTAAAGAAAATGAATAAAATTAGATATATGTACCCAAAATTACGAGGTGAAAAATAACCGTGACATATATCTCAGAGGTGGGGAATGGTTGGAAATATCCCATTCGCCCTGGGAATTACTTTTGGTGCTCATTTTAAATAATTGTTCCAGAACAGAGCCAGTTTTTGTTGTATTCTGGATACCAGGACATCGGATAAAAGGTCCCATTCCTGTGTGTGTGTGTGTGTGTATATATATATATATATATATATATATATATATATATATATATATATATATATATATATATATATATATATATATATATATATATATATATATATATATATATATATATATTTATATATATTGTACTTGTATATATATTATGGAATGTAGAATATAATTGGGCCACATGATTACTATAGTACTATACTGTATACTACTGTATATATATTTATTTATATTCATATCAAAATATCTAAATTCAACTTATATTTGAACACAATCCCTTGTAACAGCAATAAATATCCATGTATTATGCTCCACAATCATTTGTTAATAAAAATAATAATAATATTCAGACACCATAGTGTGTTCACTGAAAGCTTCCAACTGAGGCCTTGGCAAGGCGAACAGTCACGGGGAGTCACTACAATTCTTTTGTATTTAATCTATCATATTTATACAGTCCAGTACAGTACTGCATAATATTTTAAGGGATAATAATTTCCGCACTTATGGAAGCAAAAATTAGCATGTGAAATGCTCTGGTAATATGGCTATCAAAAAGAGAATAAGAAAATATTAAAAATTTTCATCGACATTCTGCACAATGCTGTGTAACATCACAGGGCGAGTGGTTTATGTCTCAGAATTTGTTCATCATGTTTGTGTTCTCTTCAAGACATTTATGATACCAGAGCATTTCACATGCTAATTTTTGCTTCCCCACATGTGAAAATTATCAGATATATAACATAGATTAGTTATTATCCCTTAGAACAGAGATTTTCAACCAATGTGCCGCGGGAGTTTAAATAGCATTTGGATACATTTTGACATTACTGGTACTTTTATGGAGCGCATAAAGAACCCTGGCATTGTTTTCACACACTGTTTCCTGCACAGAGGCCCTCATTTCAAAATCAATAGTACCTGAGCTCCAGAAAGTATTAGATGAGACGATCAAAATAGTTAACTATATAAAAAATAGGCCATTAAAATCAAGGTTGTTTTCAACACTGTGTTCTGCCATGGAGTCTGCTCACACACAACTTCTACTACGCACAGAAGTGAGGTGGTTGTCTAGAGGCCGGGTGCTTTTGCGGTTTTATGAACTAAGGGAGGAGCTTTTTATATTTTTGACATCAGAAGAGTCTGAGCTGGCTGACCTGCTTAGTAATGAAACCTGGTGCAATGAAGTTGCATTCCTGGCTGATATATTCTAAGCCTTGAACACTCTTAATAAGAGTATGCAGGGAAAGAATGAAAATAGTCTGACTTGTACTGACAAAGTTAGCTCTTTTAAGGAAAACTATCACTGTGGGAAGCCAGAATAAAAAAAAGAACAAAGTTGAAATGTTTCAACTGACAAAAGGTTGCAGACTGGACAAAAATCTTGTCAGTTTAATTCTACAAAGTTTGTCGCTACTGAGTAAAAACATTGAAAAGTATTTCCCATCACTTGATGTATCTTCCTTGGACTGGGTGAGAGATCCGTTTGTGGTAAGTGCGTGCGAGTCAGCAGGATTAACTGTTGCCGAAGAGGATGAGCTGACGGAAATCAGAAACGACAGAGGACTGAAACTGAAGCACCTATCAACACATATGACTTCATTCTGGTTGTCCCTTCAAGAGGAATACCCCATCATTACAAAGAAGGCAATTGAAGCACTTCTTCCTTTCTCAACATCGTATCTGTGTGAAGCTGGCTTCTCTGCCATGAACACAATGAAGAGCAAGAACAGGTCACAGCTTCAAACACTGGAGAACTTGAGGGTATGCCTGTCAACCATTCGACCTCAGACAAGGAACATCATGAGACTACACCAAGCACAGGTTTCCCACTGATATCTTTATGTAAGCAAAGGCCTTTTATTTTTACTCATGTTTGTATTTGAATACAACCTATATCTGAAAGTTTCATATTTTTTAATGAATGTCATCTTTTTCAATGACATCTTGTTTCAATGTGTAGTAATAACACATATGCATAAAACTTTCAAATTATTTTGAAAACCATGATCAACGATATAGTTTTGGCAATAAAATTAATAAATTATTAGTTTTTTAAAATTATGAACACATTCTTATCATTCATTTTCTTTTAAATGATCAAATCTATCCTTAAATACTGATGGTGTGCCTCGACCATTATAGTACCTGACTCACTGTGCATTGAGATGAAAAAGGTTGAAAATCACTGCCTTAGAATATCATAATACTGTATATAAAAAATATGATAGGTTAAATACAAAAGAATTGTAGTGACTTTTCCCATGTCCGTCTGCCAACTAGTCAGCTGCCTTGCTACAAACTGACCCTAGGCCTCAGTTGCAAGCTTCCAATGAACAGACTATAGTCCATGAACATCACAGCCAACTGCCCCTGGTGGAAGGAGTGTTCCTTATTGTTCTTATACACACACACACTAACCCTATTATCAAAAACATTCTAATATTAAAATAAAAATCAATTACAGCTTGTCCATACTGAGACAGTTTCTTAAGTTTCATTTAATATTTGGTTATATTCTAACAAATCCATTATTTCTATAATACTGTATTGATTGGGATAAAATAAACTGCTATTTGCACAAATATAATACAATGCATTGCAGTACTTGGCTCCAAAGCAATCTAACTATTAACTCAAATATGTAACATAATAAAGGCTTCACACTTATATCCACAGCAGATATAACTGTAAATTTGTGCGAGGAAAAAAATATGCAACTCTTCAACACAACAATTGTTGTTTTCTTTCCTAGTTTACAGTTAAACCATCTAAATCATATAAACAACAGTTAAAACCTCAAACACACACACTCCACATAACTTGAGTAATGACCACGGAATAGCTTTTTTTTTCTTAAATGGATGATGAAACCACACAAACATTCAACAGAGAATTTATAACAAAACACAGTACAGTATGTCCAATGATAGAATTTGATAAAATTATGTCAAAAGTATCAGACAGCTTTTTTTGTGTCTGTTGTCTTGTCCTCTATGGCCTTTTCACTATCACTGAGCTCTGTTTTCTCTATCTGTTTGGCTTCAATATCCCTTTCAGTTTTCTGCTCCTTCTTATTTTCTGTCTTCTTACTTCCATCAGACACTTTGCCTTCACCTCCACCTACCTCCTTCTTACTATTGTCACCTGGATCCTTGTCTTCTTCTTGAATATCAGTTTTCTTATCTTTCTTCACTTGTGAGTCTGTCTCTACTGTCTCAGTTCCTTGGTTGGTTGATGGTGGCTGGGGAACAGTTCCATTAGCAACAGGAACATCAGGGGTACCTGGAGTCACCTTTCCTGCTGGAGCTGTGAAGAAGTAAAGCTGCAAGAAAGAAAAAGTTGTAGTAGTAGTTGTCGATTCTTTTTATACCCCCAATGACCATTCCAGGCCACTCATGTCATTCTGCCATCTAAATCTAACCTAATCTAACCCAACCCAGACTAATCCATATATACAGTGATAAATCAAAAGACTATGTGCACAAGGTTTTTGGGGTGGCATCAAAAGGTCAAAGTACGTTTGTCTGTATCAGTGATTGCGTGGGTATATTATGCAAGTTAAGTATTTGTGTGTGTACTGGAATATGTGTGTGTTCATTACTGTATTTGTGCAAAAGAGTGTGTCTATACACTACAGTAGATTTTAATACTGGAGTCTACATGAAGCACAAGCTGTAGCAAACTGCATTAATACCTGTGTGAAAGGTCACCCAAAATGTGACCCAGCTCTCTCACAATGTCACAGTGTAAACAGGTCAAGAGCCTGCCCTCTCAGTCGACTACAGCCACTACTGTGAAAACTGGTGTCTCTGTTACATAATGCCCACTAATTGTGAATGTTTGGGTGCAATTCTTTATTCAAATGAGAAGGGAATATAAGATTCTATGCATTTCCTAAAGATGAAGAACTAAGTAATCTTTCCATTAGCTGGAATCTTCAATAGCTGAAAATTTTATTTTGAGCATTCCGGGAGATTCCAGGAAAACTCTCTTCATTCCAGGCATTTGAACAAATTTCCGAGATTGCATCATGTTTTTGGCATGGGGATGTGTGCCAGGCATGAGGGTGGGTAGGTTCAGAGTGCTAACGAGCTATGATTGACTACTACCGCCATGTGACTGCATGGAATGCCCATGATTGGCTGATGTATCTCACAGCCTATTTCCTCAAACTCTAGCATCATGAGACTCTTAGTTCATTGTCAACTGCCATTGTACAAGCTTGCTCATTCGCTCACAATGGGACCACTATGCAAATTTTTGGGTATAGAAACTGTGATGTTGCTGACATATCAGTTTAAAAAGTTTTCATTCATTGAAGGTGCTTGTTTGGAAGCCCTACTTGGCATTCTAATTATAATGCCAAGTTCCTACTCTGTAAAAGTGGGTTGGCAAAAGGAAAGGCATCCAACCATAAAACTTGCTTCAAATTTACCTGATGGCGACCAGGACACCATACCATCAGATAATTATGGTTAGCCGATGAAAGAGTGGAAAATGCCCATAAAATGGTAGTGGCGATGCTGTCCTCATTCTCACCACTTGTGTTATTTCCTGCTAAATCTGATCAAACCCAAAATAAAATACAAGAGAAATTATTGATAATCTGGCTACTAAAATATTTGTAAACTTACCATAAAGCCAAGAGCAAGGGTAGCATGAAGCACCAAGATGAATCCAGCAATACCAATTGCTACTTGTTTGGTATCGTGGGAGAGAGACGGCCACACTGTACGTACTAAAACACTGCCACTCAATACTGGTGCAACAATAGCAAGGCACCATTTGAACCAATCCTGTGGTACTAACCACAAAACCTGAAAATGATTTCAATTGAAATGCATAATCTTCAATACTAGTTCGAACAAATAAAGCCATAAGTTACATACGATAATGTACAATCTTACATAAATGACAATATTGTATATATTTATTGTTTTATCTAGCATATAACATTTCTTCCAGGAACAAGCATTCTTCTAGTGCATGAAAGAAATCAAATATTGCACACACAAAACTGCACATAAATATTAAACAGAAATGTGTACAATGGTATATATTTTTAGGTACAGTACTTACAGACACTGGCACAAATATGGCGAGGGAGTAACCATAGATGCACAGAAGTTCAAGAAGTGATATCTTTGCTCGTGATCCTCGCCACACCAACAATCCCCAAACAGCAAGTGGTATCAACCACGCATATGCAAAGATGGCAGAAGCAGCAAATGTAACTGTTGTGGGGTGGGGGGAGGCCAGAAAGACATAATTTCAATTTAATTCACATTGAATTTGGTACAAGTTATGTTGAGAAGCTTAAATCTAGAAATTAAATTATCTACCAGTGCATTCTGTACTGAAACAGTAAAATTTTTGCATTTTATGACATTTAGAAATGTTGGCATGTCTTCACTTCACAAAATTATGGCCACTAAATAGTAAAAGAAAATGACCAATCATTAACATTTGTTATATACAGTACTGTACCAGCATATCAAAAATTTTCACTTGAAAAAATTCACTTTCAGTTTGAAACTGTACTAAATTATAAATATATTGTAAATAAAATGATATAAGAATTAATTACAGTAAGTATCTGCCAAACTGTATGGGAAAAATCTGTGTTGTAAGTTCTCTACAGATAATTGTTTAAATATATACACTTCAAAATCCTAAAATTCTTACCATCTCAGAACTAAATATATTATTTTGGGGTGAATTTTCAAACAGTTGGAATTTTGTTATGACCAACAAACCCTAATACATATAGGATAAATGTTCCCAGACTACCAAAAACATTTTCTACAAAGAAGAAACTAGGATCAAAGTAAGTGAAGATCTCTGTTTTGGCAGTACAGTATAATATAGTATATATACAGTACTTAACATAAAGAAAATATAATACAGTATACTGTAAGATAATAATATACAAAGATGGATATGTCAGTATGTTGTACTGTATATTCATACCGTGGTGTAATCAGATTTTTAATCACTTTGGATATTTTAGATGTTCCAATTTTTCTGGTTAACTGGTATCTTTGGTGTCATAAAGAGTTGTACCAATCCAATATGCTTGTGTCAACTTACTAGTTGTTTCACCTTTGTCCACACATTCAACTATATCAAGAGCATTGCTAACAGTCATGCTGGTACTGCTGTACATCTTTCAGGCAAATACACTTAGCACAATGACAGGCCAAGTGTCATGACTGATCCTTTGTTTACAAATATCTCAAGCATACTATTGCAGTGTCTTGATGTGTGCAAAGACACACTTACTTTAACTCCCCTTAAATGAGTGGAATTTGAAGTGTAGCAAGATATTTTAAAACCTGTCTTTTTTACTATCAACTTCTCACTATGCCTTTTCTAAAATGGAAATCATTTCAGCCAGATGGAATTCGAAATCCAGTATAAGGATTGTACTGTACATCAGTCATGAAACAAAACAAGAATCATACTTAAAAGAGCACCTGGACTGGAAAAGGTTTTCCCCCTTTTTTTCCAATCACACAAAACCAAGGCTTGTACAGTATGGGAAAATGAAAAATGAATGGAATAATCTAAGGACTTTCTAATGGTGGAAAACTTGCTTTTTAAAGAGCAACAGGTCTTATTCAACTGGAAAGACAATAGTAGGTAGAGTACCAGAGTCTCCCAGAAAAAGGAAAGAAGCAGATCTCACAATGACCCACCCTCAAGTTGCCAACAGCTACAGGAACTGTACAATAGTGGTTTCTTGTTACTGAACACTACATGAATTAAACCCCAATGGGGGAACAGCAGAAACTAAGGTTAGAATGAAAATCAGATAAACTTTTCACTCTCATCAGTTTCTAAGATATTTCTATTGTTGTAATCTGACATTAAACATGTGACACGAGTCAGTTCTCGTTTTATCTTCTGTTCAGGACCCAATCTCTGACAGACTAATGATTTCTCAGACAACCCAAAACCTTATTTTACAACTACCTGTAGTACTGTACAAAAATGGGATGAGGCAGCTGAGTGGATAGAGTTTGCCTCCTGTCTTTGGGGTTGTTGGTTCAATCCAGTTTAGCTAGTTGCAAATGGGTACCCAACTTTAAAAGATGAATAAATGAAGGTGATGGCCACACTGCCTCCTTGCATGCTAAATGTTTAATACTGTATACAGTTTGCTATAAACACACTGTCTCTGAAGAGCAGTAAAACATAAAGAACCCATTTTTACTTTCAAGTTCAAAAGCAAAGTGTATTTTTTCTAGTGCAAATCAGTGCTTGTCTGGCATATAAATGAGTATTTTCCAATCAGCCAGAAACTTATATACTGTACTTCACTGCTGAAAGAAAATGGCCTTACCTTTACGAAATTCATATCTCCAAACATATGTCTCATTAGTTGGTGTGGCCAAATAGTTTGCAAGGTTACCCGTAATGGCTGTGGTGACTGCTAGTGTTGTGCAAATCCAGAAAGGGCCTGTAATGAATGCATAAATGGTCGTAAAACAGGAACCAAGTCTAGCTTCACAACAGACTAAAGTCTAATGAATTCACGTATATCAACAATCATTTCCCAATTACTGTATGACTTAGTTAAACCATATTCTCTTGACTTTAGACTTACCATAAATTTTTTCATATTAAATATTCAAGTTATTTTTACAGCTAACCCACACAGGAATGGAAAATGACCACAAAAAAGTGATGATGATGATGTTACTGAGCTGTTAATGTCTAGGTATGTATCAGTGACTGACTGGAGGTGGGAATCTTACTGATGAATCAACCTCAGAGACTAAAGTGAACAGTTATGAGGAACACACGTAATGAGAAAGTTGATCTCTCTGAATTTGTTTAATTTCCTCTGAGATGCACTACACCTGACCTACATAATTGGTTGTGTAGTAAAAAGTAATTCATCTGGAACTTACCATAAAGATCAGGATTTGGTCGAATATATGACTGTAGGTAACTGACACCAGGTTTTGGCACCATAGACCACAAGATTCTGTCACCAACTTGTTTACTTTCAACATCAAAAAATTGTTGGTAGAAGTCAAAGGTCCAGAATGATGCACCTGCCTTCAGTCCTGCTGGTTCTCCACCCTCACTATCACCCATGAGCTGCAATGTACACACATTTAACTTACCTATCAAGTCAGAATCTACAAATAATTCTGCTGCAAGCCTACATATTTTGTAGAAGAGAAATTTTTTTAACAAAATACTGCAATATGAAGGGTTGAAGCAGGAGCAGCCTGCAACCCCTACAATTGCATGGGCCCCAAGACATCACGGGGCCCCCAACTGATCAGTGAATCAACCTTTTCCTTAGTTATACTGTACTTTAAGGAGAAAAGTCCAACAAACCAACTGTAACTCTGCATCTGGTTCTGCAGAGAATCAGATGGAGAGATGAAATCCACAAATTTGTTGGGTAAGATGGAAAAGGCTAACAGCAAATAGGTCAGAGTGCAGGAATATGGGAAAGATCTTCATCCCTCATTGGACTAATACTGTACTATATACAGTAGGCTGATTATAATGATATTGTAACTAAGTCCCATTTCTTATTTTGTCCTAAGATTGTGAGAGGAAAGATTATTAATTAGAAAAAGGAATACTAATAATGCACATACAACAGTGCTGAAGTGCTGTAATAATTTTATAATGATTAAATTACTTCAGTAGTGATGTAACTGTACTCAAAGGTTGAGCCAAATGTTACCAAGCACCCTTTTCTTTGATATTGGTATTGCATAATCCCTCCAGAAAGTATCAATAACCTTTTCGTAGTTTAAATTCTGAAGCACAGGACAAAATATATTATATTGACAATATTGTTTCCTCTTTCCCCATGATTTGAAGTAATCTTTAAATAAATGCAAACTGCCTGTTTTTGAGTTGATTAGGGACCACCTTAAAGCAGTATCTTACTTCACCGGTCCCTCACCCTTGACTTGTCAGGTCCTAGACATGAAGTGATTGTGTAACATGCCCGAGTGCACGGAAATTCATGCTCTTGGCGTCAAGAATTCCGAACTAGGTTAGAGGTTGCTTGTGCACTGACCATAGTCTCGTATATACCGATCTTCATGAGCCTGGCGCATATTAAACTTGATAATTGTGTAATATAGTATTTGCATTTGTATATATTTCCAAGGAGTAATACGGACTTTTCAAAACATGAAGCAGGACAACCCAAATGGTGCTGAAAAGTGAATAGCTGCAAAAGAGAAAGTCAAAAGAATAGAATACTGTATGGAGATATGGATAATGCTCATTTCAGTCAGTTCTGCTATAACTCGATAGTTGTGTTCTTGTAAAACATCGTGTTATAAAAATTCGCGCAATAGAAATAACAGGGCTTATGGAGAAAATAGGGTTAGGTGCAGATTACTCAAAATAAAAAAAAATTGAGTAGTTAGCCTAACACAAAGGACAGCACAGTCTAAATAAATGTTACATTCATATCTAATGATGAAATCATACAGTAAATGTAACACTTTACCTTGAAAAAATATGAATATAACTTGATGGGGGAGAAGGGTGATTTTGAGGTTGATAACATCGAGCTTCTTTTCAAGTGTTATAGCCTTTCTTTTATGATCATCACCGGGAATGCGATCACCAGAACGCTTCTTGGAGATATTCTTCTTTAACATATTCACAGTTAATACCACAAAATTGGAGAAATAGTAAGCAAAAATCGCGTTACAGCAAACAAGCGTTCGCGTTTTACAAATATTCTTCTATTCATAAATCGCGTTAGAGCCAATTCGAGTTGTCAAAACATGCGTTATAGCAGAACTCACTGTACTATTATTTTTTAGATAACTACAGGTTTTCCAAACTGGGCTTGGTCCTGAGCACTGCACAATACTAAGACTCAACTGTATTTCAAATGAAGGAAATAAATTTTCCTCCTCTGTATGAGGGTTGCTGAAGTGTTTTGCTTTAAACATGCTGATTCAAGACTTAATCTCTGAATTTTTAATTATACATTTTCCATAAAGAGTTAAGATAACTCCTCAAAATTCCACCCTCAGGTAAAAGATCAATAATAAAGTTTGTAACACAAAAATGTATCCGCTTTTATTCATAATTCTATGAAAATTTATACAGTATAAGAACTATCTTACTAACCACTTATATAGCAACTGTCATTACAGAAAATACCCTTAGTGATGCTGATGCTTCTGTCAATATGGGCAAGAAAGTGGTGACCTAGGTTGCTCAATATTCTCTCTGGCTCATCCATCGACCCGCGCATACAGGCACGCACACACACAGATATATATTATAAACATTATAATGCATAAAATCACTTGTTAAGAACTCTGGCTCCCAACCCAAGGCTAAGCAGCATTGGTGAAGCAGTTATCTTCTGTAGCTGGCCAATAACAAGATAAATTTCCGAGGCATAGTTAACTTTTCTTACCTGGAGTTTATTACCCCACATACAGTCCATGTATTGTGGATAATGACATATTAGATACGGTATTAGCTATTAAGTTAGCATAAAATCAACAATAAATTGTTGCATTCATGTGATGAAAATCACATTCAATTCAATCTTGAATACTGTACTGTACTGTACACCACAGGCATTGCAGATAGTTGTTACAGACACTCATTTTAAATTAATTCATAAATATCTTTCAATAAAGTCTCTGTAGATAAATGAGCATACACCACCTTAACAATTACCCTCTTTTTATAAAAGTTTATCTTACATAATTTCACAATAACAATGTATAAATTATGAACAAAATATTCAGTTTAAAAATTCAAATAACAAAAACTGTCAGGAGCCCATTTCATATTACTGTACATATCATACTTTCTGCCTAAAGCTGCTTCATTACAGTACTTTATTTATGCTAGTCACCTGTGGTGCAGATTTGTGCATGCTCTGTTTACACTAGCCACAAGTGGTTTAGTCTAAATAAAGACTACCTGACCTAGAGTAAGGACTGTACAGTGCTTTGTATCATCAAAACACCATCAGGTAGGAGTTACAGTGAATACTTCATATCTGTGATTAACTCCAGGTAGCGTGTGGAGTTTGGTTACCGACCCCAGAGCGCCCAGCTGAGGATGGGGACAACAATAAAAAATACGGCGGACACGCGAGTGCAACAGAGCCATTGCACACATCATGCAAGGTTCATGAGTTATGTAGATATCAAATCCAGTACATATATATGATGTGCCAGGGTCATTAACAGTTTCTTCTACTTTCAGAGTCATTGGAGTTTTTATAGTGGAACTTGTGACATCTTTACAACATGTTTTTTCTTCTTCACTTAACTGACGTAATTCTTTGTCCAAGACACTTGTGTTTGAATTATGCTCCTTACAGTGTTCATACACAAGGTTTAGACCGGGTGAAAAATTATCTTGCATCCAAACTCCACCTCCTTGTCTACAGGCTACATTATCAATTGCTATCATGGCAGCATGTTGCAAAGGATGTCTATGTCTAGAATCCTGTGCAACAGTTACAACAAGTCCAGTTTGGCTGTTTATCACCACAACACCAACTGCTGGATTTCCCTCCTGATTTGCTCTGTTACCTAATTCTATTGCTTTATTCATGTGTTTAACAATTATCTCCATTTCTTCATGACTGAAGAAGCTGGAAGAAGAGAGCTGAGTCAGGTAGGAGTCTTCATGAAAGGCACATGGCCAAAATGGTGAAACTTTGTCATACATCTCACGAACTCTTGGGGCATATTTGGCTACTCTGGAGACACACACTCTATCCAGAAATATTGAAGTATCAATTTTCTTTTCCTTCAATTCAGCAAAAACTTTATCCGCATCCATTGTGTTGAGGAGCATAATATTATTACCAGCTGGTTTAACAGGAAGAATACCAAAGTCCTCAATAAAGCTAAGATAAACTAACATAACATCTTGTTTAATCTTTACTTCATTTTCCAATTTTTTATTCTCTGTCTCTCCCTCAGCTGCAACCAATTTCTTAACTCTTTTTAAATGGCTTAGAGTTGGGACTGGTAGTTTCTGAGATAGTTCCTTAACAGCACGTGAAGTGTACTGCTTCTCTTTCACTTGCAGAACAACTACTTGAGCAAGATCTACTAGTCCAGTTACACCTTCAGGGAGGACTGCAGCAACCTGAACCTCTGCTGGATGAAATGGCAACAAAAGGGTTGACTGGCCATCTTTTTTCCTTCTCTTAATCTCTGGTCCGATCTGCAAGTAACAAACTCCCTCACTCTTTTCCTCACTCTTGAAAGTATGTATAAATACACACAAACATATATGCATGCACATACAGTATGCACCTCTCTATATACCTCTACAGTGACAATATTCCAAAGTCCATTTCAATTTTCTCATATCTCAATACAATTTCTGAAAGGTCATTTACAATTAGAAGTGTCTAACTTCTGATAAATTGTCCATTTTCCAGACACACACTACAACTTTAGCAGACACTCTTGATTACAGTAGCTAGATCAGTCAATATAGAAATGTCTTCCATAAGATAGATATTAGTGTACAAGTACAGATGATATTCTTACTCTTATAAATTTAATAATTTTCAAACACCACTTGATTGAAAGTGAGAGAAAAATGGGAACTGTTAGTTTATGTTCAAATAATGCAGAGACTGTCCTACAACAATTACAAATCAAAGAAAAAAGTCACAAGAAAAAAGTCACATATAAAAAGGCACGGAAAAACCTAAGCTAAGCTAAGGTAACCTGACCTAACCTAACCTAATTTAACCTAATCTACGTGCAATGCCATCATATATATATATATATATATATATATATATATATATATATATATATATATATATATATATATATATATATATATATATATATATATATATATATATATATATATATATATATATATATATATATATATATATATATATATATATATTGTGTTGTCAATGTGTACAAGTCATGTGACTTTATTTCCGTCCACCAACAATTACATCACCCTGTAGAAACCTAAACCCCTTTTTCCCATAGGCCCTTTGTTTCTCCATCAGTGGATTCACCATCTACAGTTCTACAAAAATGCAAAGCTCATAGATGGTGAAGTTATTTGACAATCTTCAGTAACAAAAGCCAAGCATAAGAATACACATTATAAATATCTTTGGATATCAACAACTTTATTTTTTTTTTATCGAGAATTAGCCCACCCGGGCACAGGTCATCAGCCCACATCGGGGCCTAGGGGGCGAAAAAATAAGAATAGAAAGAAATTAAAAATAGAAAAGAAAAAGGTTACCGTATATTAATCTACACCACGAAGATGCCGGAAAACCAGCTTTTTAAAGTGAGACATTGTATGAGCATGGAAACACAGAAGAAGGCAGAGCATTCCACAGTTTGGTTGTGTGAGGAAAGAAGGATGCACTGTAACAGGTTATTCTAGTGTGACCAACATCCACAGAGAAACGGTGGGCACCGCGGGCAAGACGTGTGTTAAGAGCCCATGGCCTTGCCGGCAGTCACAGGATGCCAAATCCACCGAACATTGCCCGTTAAAGTACCTGTAAAAGAGAGAGTGAAGCAACATTGCGGCAAAGAGAAAGGGAAGAAAGATTGTCAACTAAAGGAGGAGAGTCAATAAGATGAAATGCCTTTGATTCCACCCTATCTAACAGTTGGACAGAAGAAGAGCCACCCCAGATATGAGAGCAGTACTCCAAGTTAGGATGAATGAATCCCTTATATACTTGAAGCAACTGCTCCGGAGTGAAGTAGCTACGACATCTGTACAGCATTCCCAACTTTTGGGAGGCAGCTTTAGCAATGTTGAGGATGTGTGACTTCCATGACATATTAGAGGAAATGGTGAGGCCTAGCATATCTATAAGAATTTGGCAGAATGAGAGCATCCTGAAATGTAATTGGTGGGAGACAATATAATTTAAAAAGTGTAATTGGTAAATAGTGAGTTTTATTACTATTGAATTTAACAAGTTTCTACATCCCTATTCGGAGATGCTGCACAGATCCGCATTGATAGATGTAATGATATCATCTCTAGAAACAGATCTAGTTTGAGAGTTAGGAGGAAGGGGAAAATGTGAAAAAGAGTGAAGAGTAGAATCATCAGCATAAGAATGGATAGAATTAGTTGTACTGTAGTGTGAAGTAAATCATTGATAAAAAGAAGGAAGAAAGTAGGTGAAAGAACAGAACCCTGTGGGACACCACTACAATATAGGTAGAGAAAGAGCGAGAGATCAATCCCTCGACAATAACTGCCATGTATCGGTTCTCAAGGAAGCTAGAGATTAGAAAACAAAGTGGGGGAGAGAAACCATAAGAGGGAAGTTTAGAAAGCAAAGACTTGTGCCATACCCTGTCAAATGCTTTGGAGATGTCGAGGGCCACGATGAAAGTTTCCCCATAATCGATAAGAGTTGGCCTGGGTCACCCATAAAAACACAATCTTAAGAGAAGTAAAGACTGCCCTCTCTCTCTCACTGATGGTTCTGTACTGTGGCCATGTTCGTGCTACAGCATCACCTGCTGGTCTTTCACATCCTCTTGAATTCCACTTTGTCCTTTCATTAACTGTTATTCTGCTATTCATATTTTTCCTGTTTGAATAATTTGTGCCTTTTCTGTCTTCTGTCCAATTTGTACGCACTTGTTGAGGCAGCTTTCATTCTTGCCAAACGTGCCTGCTTCTCATTTTAAGTAAATAGCACCTGCTTGACTGAGTTGGAGGTGGCCAAAATATATAAAATTCTAAATGAGATCACCAGGGTGGACAGTTCCAGTTTCCAGAGACAACAATGGGTGTAGATGGGTAAAAACAATACTTCAGGTACTGTACATTGCAGATATATTACAGTACACACTTATGTTTCCTTCAAAATAATAACAAATACAGTACTGTACAGTAATTCCAACAACTTTCATTTTCATGACCTTAAATACCTTACAGAGGGCACAAATTACACAAGACATCAATGCAATATTTGTGTGATAAAAATGGTAACATAAAAATCTATACTGTATATAAAAGCAAATAAATTGAAGAAAAAAATACACTGCTCTAATCTAGCTATGGGAAGAGGGCAAGCAGCCACCAACACTACGCACCCACTACAGTAAGGTTTTTGTCAACCAGATATCAATTTTATAAAATACTGTACATTTATTCTATTTTATGAGGGATTTGAACATTCTAAATATGAAAATAAAGAATATAGATTTTTTTTCATTAAATTTTCCTCATACTGTACAGTACGTACTGTATTACATGAGATTACTGTATATGAAAATAACATTAAATTGGACAACTAGGAAACTGGCTCAGTAACTGTGTGAGGTGGTGGTGTAAGTGGTAAGTCTACTTGTCTTCATTTGAGTTTGAAAGGTACAGTATGTTATTTGTAGACATAAAAACATTTTGAATGAGTGTGAAAGAATAATCAAGTCCAGTAAGTTGGTGAACAGGTATTTGCAGAAACTAATAGTATATAACCAAACTGACACAAATAGTATATTACTGTACATGCTTTCCTTGGATTTACAGTATGTTCATAACAGTATACAGTATTTTATTTATGTAATTACCGGCAAACATTTTATGGAAGCCTCACTGTCCTAAACTTTTCAGTTAATAGATATTTTACTGTACCAAATACTGTATAATGACAAACAAAACAAACCACCAAATCAAATCTATTCTAATTAAGCTAAATTTGGTTTGCTTGGTTAGTCACATGTCAGTACTATTGGTATAAAAATACTCCACAAAACAAAATAACAAGTAAAGGGATTCAGGGTAATATATGTGTCCATATTAAAACAAACTAAAACTCAGTTATCTCCTTTGAGAATTTGTTACAAATCATTGTTTGATATGTGGTAGTAACTCACCTTCTCCTGCTCTTGTTCATCTGTGGCTGAGTCAGGGTACTCTGTGAAGTGAATGGTTTGCTCATGTTGGCTGCTGCTCACAACTGCTGGCTGGGTACGAGCTTCACCAAAATCTGTTGGTGGTAATAGATCACTACGAGGTAGCCGATAGTAACGTAACATAATTTATCAGAACTCAAGCACAGTATGTCATTTTTTAATTGGGGATTATATGTTACAGCATTAATAAATGCCAAATGATATGAATTTCAATTATTGCAATGAATAGCTGCATCAAGAACAGCCCAAACAGAAAAATTGCATTTAAATATTGAGGAAACGAAAATATTTTTAGATTTGTGAAATAAAAATAAAGGAATGAAGTATGAAACCCCATTGCCCAGTCAAGGTGATGTCAAGTGACCTTCAGTATTTTCCACCCAAAACACCCCTCAGCAGACCATGCTTTGTTCTTAGGCATTCTTAGACAGTTACTTGGTCCAATCAAAATCAGAGCAAATGCTATAAACAGCAACTTGACCAGACAAAAACTTGAGAATCATACAACAAACTTCACATTTTCCTGCCAGTAAAGAAACCCATCAAGAGAGAAGGAAGGGGTTGTGCTCCACTTAACTCTTACCTCAGCCAAGAAATGGGATATACTGTACCAGTAATAAATCAAGCTATTGATTTGTAGCCCAAAGATCATTTGTTAATTGACCTGTGAGATTCCAATTACAAATGGGATGGAGGAGTTATGTGTTAAGAAATAAGTTTAAAGAACTTTAGCCTGGATATAATCCTTAAATCAAACATTAGTCACAGTTACTACTTTGTGGCACATAATGTGTTCTGAAGTAAAATTCATCACTTATTTATCGGGTCTAGCCCTTTATTCAATACACTACCAACACAATAAAACATGCCCATAAGAACCATGCTTTCAACAACTGTTATTCTGATACAGAACCTCCAAACTAACCCAAATTACAGTTCCTTCACTTCTACAACTGTAAAGTCAGGTACCCATTTACAACTGGATGAACATGGAGTGCCCTGGGCAAGAACCAGCAAGCCTTGGGACAGGTGAATGCTATATCCAATAGCAAACAACAAGAATACTTTATACAGTACAGTATAGTCTGCATTTACGCGGTCAATTGAACCCGTGGAGGTCCGCGTAAACCGAGAATCGCGTTAACGAAATAACAGAACATGTGGGATTAATTGAAATAGAGACTGGGCCGACTCCCAAACTCCACTTTTTCCGACACAATACGTACTTTGTAGTAAAAATAACATCATAATTTTATGATGGTATTGATACACACATAATATCTAAATAAAAAACTACAAATCTAAAGGTGTTTAAGACTTACGTTAGTACAAGAGATGGGTCGGCACACGTGGATAGCGGCTGGTTCCGAGGCAGAGGGCAGATTAGTGGCTGTGGTTGTGGTGGGTTGCGGGTTAAGAAGTCCGTAATACTACGTTGACGACTAGCATTGATGTTGTCGTGATAGATCTGGACATACAGCTCCATAATTTTCGACAGAAGGTTATTAGACACTTCATACCGATGTTTGACTGTCTTTGTCAAGGATGAGCTTAATTTTCTCCCCCAACTCGATGATTTCCTTCACATAATCATGGCTTGGTCCAGGTAATTCAAGGTTTTTCTGGGGTGGTGGGGGTCCAGCGGAAGCCATTGTGAAAGGAATAGCGGGCACAAGAGAGAACTGCATACGAGGACTGAGAACAATGAGACTGGCCCGGCAGGGCACGTCATGTTACATTAGACCAATCACAGCTAGCGGCGGAGGGAACGCGTGGGTGGTAAGGATGCGTGGCCCAATCACAGTCCGATACGTCATATGACGTCAGCGATAACATAAGAGCGACCTAATGTGCACCCTGCCCGCGCCGCTTCCTGCGTAAATGATGCAATGACCCGCGTAATTCAAAATTTTCATTCTGGCAAGGTGCCGTGTAAATGACCAAACGTGTAAACCAAATCCACGTAAATCAAGACTATACTGTATGGTCGAGACAGAATTCTGATTGGCAAAAAGTCTTAAGTACAGTAACTTAAATCCAATTATTAATGACCTGCTTGTAAAAGTTTTGTCCAATACAGTAACGTCCAGCTTGTAAAAGTTTTATTTAAGACATTAATATATTTTTTTTTCATAAAGAAAACAATGCAGATTACCCTACTGAGTATTATTTACATCAGTAATCCCATTAAACTGAAAAATGAAGACCATATGAAAATTTTTAAAGATGTGAGTACAATACATAATATTACCTTGAAACTGAAGGTCCATCCCAAGCTCATCCGATCCATTCTGAAAAAAGCACATAGAATAGTAGCCAAATACAGTAAGAAAAACCGGTATTATTTCACTTGTTACCACTACACCATCTCAGGAATTTTATAGTTTCAGTCAGTAGGTTTGACAATTCTAAGACACGTTTCTTCAATGGCATTTCTGGCGGAAATTACATTTAAGCGAGATATTTAACATTTTATTATGTATGTTCATACGTGGTGGTACACACACAAAACATCGAACAACTGTGGAGCTCCCCAGTTGGGTTAGGGTTTTGTTTTTCCGATGTTTTTTATGTGTTTTGAACACTTTTTAACTTGATTTTTGTAGCAAATCTCTAGATTGTGATATGGGAGGGGGAATGGGTGCTTATCTCAGAAACTATTGATTTGCATCAGAAATGAAGGTTAAATTCGTTCATAACACATCAAAAACCACCAGAAAAACATTTTCAGCTTCAATTTCGCCGAGTGGCAACAAGTGAAATTTTACCGAAAAAGCTACTCTATAATTTTTTCAATGATCTGTCATCCCAGCCACAAAATACAAGACTGACCTCACATTACCTATGTGGCATTTAGTAAAGGTTCACGAGAGGATCATCACTATTTCTTAACGATTTGGTGAAATCTTCACTGATATTAATATAAGCATCTCTTCATATATGATCTCTTAACTTACAATTCTTCAGTTTGTTTACAATTGACCCACTCAGCACGACTGTACTATCATGTCAACAAAAAATGTGAAATTACACCATGATGCTTCAACAAAGTTGCTTTCATTGGTACCAGATATCAAAGCACGTACATACTTTCTGTTTAATATGACGGGGGTTCAGCCCCGGCTCGTAAATTAGGAAAGGTTAGGTAGGTTGGTATTATTTTACTTTCGGACATAGTGCCCCCGAAAGTTATAAACTACTGAAACATTTAGATCTCGCTATTTTGAGCATTTGAACCCCAGATATACATGGCGGAAATGGATAATAGCGACACAATTGATTTTAATTGATTTTAAGTAGTTTTCAGTCTTCGTCTGTGATGAGGTATTACAGTGAGTTCTGCTATAACGCGTGTTTTGATAACGCGAATTTGCTCTAACGCGATTTATGAATTCGGAACAATATTTGTATAACGCGAACGCCTGTTTGCTATAACGCGATTTTTGCTTACTATTTCTCCAATTTTGTGGTATTAACTGTGATTATGGTAAAGAAGAATATCTCCAAAAAGCGTTCTGATGATAGAATTCCCGGTGATTATCGTAAAAGAAAGGATATAACACTTGAGAAGCTCGATGTTATCAACCTCAAAATCACCCTTCTCCCCCATCAAGTTACATTCATATTTTTTCAAGGTAAAGTGTTACATTTACTGTATGATTTCATTATTAGATATGAATGTAACATTTATTTAGACTGTGCTATCCTTTGTGTTAGGCTAACTACTAAATTTTTTCGATTTCGAGTAATCTGCACCTAACCCTATTTTCTCCATAAGCCCTGTTATTTCTATTACGTTATTTTCTATAACACGATATTTTACAAGAACACAATTATCGCGTTATAGCAGAACTACCTGTATCTGAGCATTATGCATGTGCAATGTTGACTGACGTCATCCAGTCGTGACCAATGAGGTATCGATATCATCACGCAAAATTTTTCGACCAATCACATTTGATTTTTTCAAAGGAAGCAGTCTGGGTAATTTCATTGACCAGTTTCACAATGGCCGTGGTGGAGGTTGGTTGTCATTTGTGCTCCTACGATTATTTTTATGTTATTGCCGAGTTTAAAGAGAACGACGATCATTCTATCCAATTCTTACGTATCCCCGGTCCTTCCACTTCAAACTAAGATATTGTACCGAAAGTAAAATTATACCCCTGAAACACTTAGGTAAGTTCAAGATAGGCCTACAAGGGATTCAGGGGCGGAACCCCCCGTTAGGGGTCAGGTTCGGCCTACCGGGGGTCTGGGGGCGGAGCCCCCTGCTAGGATTTAGGTTTGGTCAGATGATTCGACTTCGTTTTCTCCCCCACCCAAAAACCCAGATTTCACAAGCTTTCCCCCATTATTGTTTTGGGGGCAAAAATTTGCAATTTCCGCCAAAAATGAAGGTCAGATTCGTTTAAAACAACAAAATAGACTGGAAAAACATAATGGTTAACCCCGAGGGATCTTTCGTTGGTTATCTGCTGTTCTATTAGATTCTGTGCATTGTCGTATCGTTTATTATTACTATCATCCAAAGAACTTGTGGAAAAAATAAAACCAAATCTAAAACATTCCTTCTGGTGGTAGCGGTTTCCTCATAAAATACCCATACAAAGGTTAGTTATATATATATATATATATATATATATATATATATATATATATATATATATATATATATATATATATATATATATATATATATATATATATATAAGGAAATTTTAACTCCACGACGTAGTTTACTAAATATTGAAGAAAAAAACTGATGACGTTGACACCTTTCGTCTTATGTTTACTCTATATCAGTTTATTTTGTATAGTCCTTTTTTATTGCTTTAAGTCTACTCATTTAAACTTTCATGGAAAAGTAACTAGAAAATCCCTCAAATCTAACTTAAATTAAGGCCTACCTGTAAGTCCAGCACCGCGAAGTCTTTCGACGCCGCCATGGTGGAGAATAGATGACGTTCATGTCAACAAACGGACTGTTATCAACACTACTGTACGGGATCACAATAACTAGCTACAGCTTACTGATGGATATACTACATATAATTTAGTCAAGATTAATCAGTGAATAGTCACATGAGAATAAATATAAAGTGTGTCATGTGTAATGATGCAAGAATAAGGTAATGTACAAGAGAGAACTACCAGTTTAATCTCTCGTATAATGCATAAAGAGAATACTTTTTACTGGTACAGTAAATATTTCATATATACTCGTATATTTAGATAAAATAGTTTTTGCGTGTTTTTAATTTCTGATTGTCGATTAATCCCCTAAAAACTGAAAACATGTACTATTACAAAGTTCTGAATAAAGCCACGACCACATGTACACTTAGGTAGGTAATGTGAGTAATTTATTTGTCTTCTCTTTGACTCTTATCCCTGTGATTTCAATGCAATTATGCATAGCATCAATAACTTCATAACAGTGATAACACATGATAGGCTTACACCAGCAGTGTCAAGTTGCCAACTACCACGGGAACACCAACCGGCACTCTCATTTGACACAATCGCACGATAAAAACACACAAACAAAATAGAAGAAACAGAAAGGAAAACAAGCAGAAAAGCGACAGACAAGGAAGCAGAACAAATAGATTAATAAAGAGACAGACAAACAGCCAACGAAAGAGACAAAAATAGCAGGCTGAATAACAAGGCAAAAGAAGAACAAGCAGATAGAGAAAGAGTGAGACAAACTGAATAAGACTCCCATCTCTCGGTAAGACCTTCACTAATACAACAAGACGTTTCTTAACAGGGTAAGACCCTTCTTTATTAGGCACCTTCCCTCATTATGTAACACCACCATAAGATAAGACTTAAAGACTTACTCAACCCTTCAGTTGTCTAAGTACAGTACAAACATTGTATACCTGCACTGTCTATGTATACGAACATCTAGTATCTCTCAAACCAATGTGAACTCGCATGACGATTTTGTTGGATAAATATCTATACTATATAATATTATGATATTAATCTATCTCTACCATCTGCCACCTGTTAGCGTTTGTGACCTTGAACATCATTATTTCACGATATGTCGATTAAAAATATATATTTCATCGTCAACATAAACGCAGTGTATTTATCAGTCCCCAATCTCTAATAAACTGATTAACACGCATTGAAACAGAGAGGAGATGTCTTACATAATTATTAAATTTCTGATCCACAGCTTTTAGCTGCAGAAAAATTCGTGTTTTGGCTGCTGGAGAGTTTCAGTTTGATGAACTGCAAAATTGTTTAATAAAAACACATTAATCTGACGTAGTTTTACGTTCTGGTTTAAAAGATATATATTTTTTCTTGGAGCGAATAGTAGAAAGTTAAGTTAGAATAGATTAGAATATAGTGTTATGATTTACTTATTATTGTAAGCCTCGATCAGAGTAGAACGGTCTAGAATCTCCCAGGCGTCTCTCGGTGATACTTGGATGTTCGAGAAGCGTCACTAAGGCATATATAAACAGGAGCGAGCGGATTTTTTTTTCTTTTATTTAAAAATTTACAATTACATTTATACATAAATATTACATATTAATATATTTGTCCGTGAAATATTTGGACGACTTTTCTTTTAAAATACACTTGATCATCCATTTATCAAGCGAGGAGTTGTAGTGGATTCCTCCCCTAAAAACGCTTTTGTCGCTGAGTAGCCGACCCTGCAAATTCCCCAGCGTATGCCTCGTGGTCTAGGTCAACCAGCGCCGCCATACATGACGGAGGTCAACTATTAAGCCACGCCTACCTCCGTTATATAAGATCTCGCCTCGTAGTGACCTACCTCTTTCTACCTACAGCCAGTCTTCAAGCAACACCTCCTCCTCCACTCCTGCCTGGCGGCCCTCGCTCCAGCCGGCGACCATGGCGACCCACAAGCTGGTCCTCCTAGCACCCTGTAGGGGTATCGAGATATTAATGTTGTCTAGCACTCAGGATGGAAGGAAACTCTAATGTGGTTTTCTTGTATAATATATAAGTTATATGATAGACAGTCTGGTGCTGGAGATGCCGTGTGGTGGGGAGCTGCTCAGTAGAAGACATTCGGTGAGTAGCGTGTTGAAGGAGGTAGATGTGCAGGAGCTTCGTTAGAGAAGATGTTGCCTGTTGCTGGCCTCCTGGTTGAATAAATGTTAACAGCTAGGAGCTTGCTGGAGGAGGTGTTGCTTGTTCAGGAAAATGGGCAGAATGAGAGTTGGTTGGTGAGGAAGCTCAGAGAAGGACAGCTGGTGGGTCGCCATGCTCGCTGGCCGGAGCGAGGTCCGCCAGGCAGGCGGAGGAGAGGTGAGGGTCGCCAGGCAGCGGCAGAGGAGGTGTTGCTTGTTGAAGAAGAATGGTCAGAATGAATCTCAATGGAGAGACAGAGCTTATATACCCAGCAGCCGCTATGAGTCATGTTGGGAAAACCCAGAAAGTCGCCGGTGAATAGTTTCGTTGCTAGGCAACGGCACGTCTGAATGCGTGGAGGTGCCGTGTGGTGGCTGCTACGCAGTTTGTAGGGGAGACGTCCACTACAACCCTCACCAACCAGCTCTCTCTACATCACGCTTGTAACCACGCTGCCACTTCCCAGCACCAAGCTGCACTGTATATCCAATACAATATGTATACAGAGAGCACATTGTGAGTTTCCTTTCTCCATCCCACCCTGAGTGTGAACCAATATCGCGAAACCCCACAAATGGTGACCCCCGGAGATTCGCACTCACACATGATCGCTACTGTTCATAATGTAAAGAATATATACCAGAACAACTGAAGACATTTGTTGTGCAAGTATTGTGTAATTGTTGTGATAAATATAAAGTGAGAAGACGAAGGAATTGTACACTGGTAGTGTGCTGACTATATATTCGAAGTGTGGAGTAAAGCTGTGAAGCCATTACCCTGTTATTTGCTGTTAACAATGTTGCAAAGAATCAATGCTTATTAAAGAAGACTACAGTGCACAAGTGTGTTTCTGAGACCTGATGGAAATCTACCTGCTTGTTGTTTGTCTGTACACTGATACCGATCGTCGAGAAATTACTGGAGACTGGCGGGACAGCCAGTGCCACAGTAGCAGCGATGCCGCAAAAGCCATGACTGACTGTGGAATGAGCGTTCAGGGAACAAACACGGAGAATAATACACAAGAAGTGGGGAACACAAGGAGTGGGGGACGTTTTATTTCTTTCCTTTTAATAACACCCATAGGAGACGGTAGGACTACTTTATAATTTTGAAGCATCCCACTGTTCAAGCACGTGCTCAACTGCTGCGTGCAACGAGAGCCATTGAGTGGCACAAGCATGTAAGATTTTGTGTGACTTAAGGTCCAGAAAAGTTTAAGTTCATATTTCCTTTTGGCACTATGGGAGAAGTATGTATAAATATTTATGATTAGGTCTTCGCACTGCCGTGGTAGATATTTTACTGATTTTGATGCACATAAGTGAACGCTACAGTATAACAAATATACATTTATTTTAATATATAAAATTGAATTTTTTGATGACGTGGCATATGTATGAATATGTAACATAATGTAAAGTATTAAATAAAACAGCCATATTAATATATTACAATAATATATATTAAAATTTCAATGTAGAATAAAGCTTATATTGATGTGTAGAATTTACGAAGAATGGGTGTAGAATGTGTCTAGAACGTGGCCTTATGGTGACTAACTGGCAACTTAAAAGCCACGTTACTTGCCAAAGGTCACTAGAAGACTACAATTCGGCAACGCTGGCCAGTGGTAAATTCGACAACACTTTGTGAGATATCTACTGCTTCTGTACAGACGACCCAAGCCGCAGGTAACCAGTGGTTGACGCTGAGTAGGCGGTGAAATGAGGGTCGTAACATTACAGTATGTTAACGTTATGTTTAGTTAAGGTTATAATATATGTTAACGTTATATTACGTAATTTTTTAAGTTAAGGTTAGGTTAAGGTTATGTAATGTTAACTTTAAGATCTGTTGCTCTTATAGTTGGTTAAATGTCATCTTAAGGGTATGTTAAGGCAATATCAGGTAAAGTTAGGTTAATGTTACGCTATGTTAAAGTTATGTTAGGCTACAGTTACTTTAGGTTAATATTAGGCATATGGACGTGTGCATAAGTTTTCGTCACGTTTCTGGAACTTTTTTGTAGCATTTACTTAAGTTTAATGAAGTGTTATTACATCGAAACTTCCGCCCTCCGGAAAAACGTTTCAGTAATGTTTTAATTATAATGTTTTAAAAACGACGAATTGTTAGCTGGGGTGGTGATGTGTAGTTGGCCAGACATGAGTGTATCTTATCAGCTCCTATATAATCTTGATTTATTAGCAGAATTTAGGTTTGTTGTAATTCTTAGATTCTCCGTACGTATCTTAGGGGAAATACTCATTTATTGCTCCACAGCACAGAAGTAAGAAAGGGATGCATGGTTGTACGAAATGGTTTTATAGAGGTATATCATGCTGCTGTCCAATTCACAAAAAATTGTCAATTGCAAATATCTATCAATCTATCTATCTATCTAGCTACAGGTAGTTGAAGCATATGTATTCTTTTGCGTAAAAAAAATTTAAGAAATTATCTCCTGAAAACTTTTCCACTTCTTGGTGTTCAGTGAGATGCTAGAAGAGATCCTTTTTTGTTTCATTATATAGTCTGACAGTTGTTAAAATGTGTGTTAATTATTGTTTTGAAGGTGATTCGTCTTTCGCCCCTATACCTCGGCTGCATCACCCCTGGCGGGCGGTATTTCCATCAACTTACATTTATCCATTAAATCTTGAAAAATATACTTGTGTGTTTAAGGGTTACATGATCTAGTGGGGGAGCATGACAGGTCGTCATTAATATTGGTCTTCAAACCTACAACAGTAACGTAGAAAAGCCGCCCTCCCAGCATCGATAACATTAATTTGATCTTAGTTATAGCTTATGGTATATTGGTTATAAGAAACTAGGTTATATTTTGTTAGCTATATACTGTATTAATCGTT